CAGTGAGCTGAGATCATGCCACTGCACTCCAGCTTAGGCAACAAGAGTGAAACTGTCTCAAAAAAAAAAAAAAAGAAAAAAAGAAAAGCCAACCTACCTACGATATGAAATTGCATTAAAACAAAAACAAAAACAAAACAAAAGCAAACAAACAAAAAAAAAGAAATTGTATCAAATAGATGAGCCAGAGAGAAACTTACCTCATATAAAGATAAGTAATACTTGAGAATAAATCTGCACAGTGTTCATGCACAAACACTTCAAGAAAAGGAGAAACGGAACAAGCAGAAACAATTAGCAGATAAAACCACTCAACAGGAAAGAATGAATCAACTGAGCACATGAAAAATGCCACCAAATATATTGTCATAACTCAAAGAACTTAAGGAAATAGAGTTCATAAAGAAATGTAGTTGATCAGAAACAACATAGCAAAACAACCAAAGGAAATGCAACATAAGCTAACAAAGTTCAGAAAAGAAATGAAAAGGAAAAAATAATCAACTAAAACTGTGCAGTAGAGGAAAAAATACACTAATTGGAGATATATATATATACACACACACACACACACTTTATATATATACTATATATATACTTTATATATATATATACTTTTAAAGTATACACACACACACACACACACACATATATATATACTTTAAAATATAATTCAAAATTATAGTGAAGGAAAAAACCACTAGCAGAACAAGCGAACTACAGCAAATGTGAATAATATAATGCAAGTGTAGTGTACAGTGTACATTGCTGACTATGTGTCCATTATCCATGCCTTCATTATCCAAGATGATTTTGGTCATATATCCTTCTTTTCCACAGAATCACGTGCTTTAGGGCAGTGGTTCTTAACTAGGGCCAATTCTTCTCTCACAAAGGACATTTAGTACTGTCTGGAGACATTTTTGACTGCCACAGTTAGGAGGGGATGCTGCTGGCATTTAGGGCAAGGAGATATGTTCCAGGCCAAAGTCTGATCTGTGATCTTTCAGGCCTGACCATAAGCAATTACAAAGGCTTTGCTTGACAGACTTCATAGGGGAAAGGTGCCCTTCCCACATGAGATTTAAACACAGCCAGTCTCTGGAGGGAGTTGTACCTGGTGCTTAGGTCCCCCTGAGCTGGCCATGTCTATAAACCTAGCTGCATTCCTAGACCAGGTACCTCCATACTGAGTCTTCCTTATCAGGGGGCCTTGGTTGAGACACTTTTCAGGTGCCTCTACAGAGACCTCCCTATTGGTGGGCCTTGACTAAGACACTCATCTCCACTCTAACTCAGTTCTTTTCTACTCCTAGCCCTTCCCTGCTGCCTTTCTGCAGTCCTCAAGGTTCATAAGATGGCAGGAACCTTTTGTTCGTTGCTCCTTAGCATTGAAACAATTTCCTCTGCCTGCACTGCATGTCATCTGATTGACCCATGTCCAGTGCTAGTCCACGGTAGGGGTAAAAATGGAACAACAATGAACTGGCACTACTTTCCTTTTTGGTCTCTTGCTTATAATTTTATCATAGTAAGTGAATAAAGATGTGATTATTATTTTAATTTCAGCTCATTACCTTAACTGACTCTCAACACTTCACAGCTAGGCACAGAGATCCTACCAGACATCCTGCTATGCATAGAACAGCTTCCTATGATGTAGAATTATATGGTCCAAAATGTCAACGGTGCTGAGGCTTTTCGGGAAAACTGATTCCATCATCTGCTCTAGGGTCAGTAAGGTCATGGGAATCTCCTGGAGAATGCTATTTATCTAGGGGTGAGCAGATGATCAAATAAGTTGGCTCAATCCCACTGAAGTAGATCGCTTCATATTAATATTCCAGGATTGGGAGAGAACTTCCCTCAATTTTTATTGTGTTGGACATGAACAAAAAAATACGTAGTCCTCACTGAAACCGATAGCAATCTTGTTAACACAAGAGAAAACAACTTTGGGATACAGTTTATACTATGTCAGAGATGATAGGGAGGTCACTTGGGCTTTTGATGACAATATGGCTAATATAACTGTGGCTGAAGCCAACTCCACCTTTGGACCTTCAGAAATGTGTAATAATAAATTTTCTTAGGATTTAAACCAGTTTCCATTGGAATTTTCCTGCTTGCAGTGGAAAGTATTGTTACACAAAGACAAAAAAATTTTAAAGCCATAAAAAATGCATAATCTAAAAGCAAAGATATATTACATAAAACAGACTACACTAATCTATCAAGTAAAACGGATCTTAAAATTGAATCACAAAGCAAAACCCACTATATACTATATTAAATAACCTAAAACAAAGTGACACAAATACCAAAAAATAAAAAGATGAATATCAGGCAAATGCAAGCCAAAATAAAGCATAAGTCATAATCTTAATATGTGACAATTTATAGAACAAAAAGTATCCAGTGGACAAAAAGGACATGTTAATAATAATAATAAGGCAAAACCCATAATGAAAATCTAGCAGTCATGAATTTATATGCATCAGAAAACATAATCACATACTATATAAAAAGTAAAGTAAAAACCATTGATAATAAAAGGAGAAATTGACAGTGATCCTTAAGCGAAAAGATATGTTTTTCTCACAATCCATGACAAAGCATATGAACCAAAAGAAAAGCAGTTTATAAAAATCTCAATGGGATACCATCTCACGCCAGTTAGAATGGCGATCATTGACAAAGTCAGGAAACAACAGATGCTGGAGAGGATTTGCAGAAATAGGAATGCTTCTGTTGGTGTGAGTGTAAATTAGTTCAACCATTGTAGAAGACAGTGTGGCAATTCCTCAAGGATCTAGAACTAGAAATACCATTTGACCCAGCGATCCCATTACTGGTTATATACCCAAAGGACTATAAATTATGCTATTATAATGACACATACACACGTATGTTTATTGCGGCATTATTCACAATAGCAAAGACTTGGAACCAACCCAAATGCCCATCAATGATAGATTGGATTAAGAAAATGTGGCACATATACACCATGGAATACTATGCAGCCATAAAAAAGGATGAGTTCACGTCCTTTGCAGGGACATGGATGAAGCTGGAAATCATCATTCTCAGCAAACTATCACAAGGGCAGAAAACCAAACACTGCATGTTCTCACTCATAGGAGGGAATTGAACAATGAGAACACTTGAACACAGGGTGGGGAACATCACACACTGGGGCCTGTTGGTGGGTGGGGGAGGTGGGGGAGGGACACCATTAGGAGAAATACCTAATGTAAATGATGAGTTGATGGGAGCAGCAAACTAACATGGCACATGTATACCTATGTAACAAGCCTGCACGTTGTGTACATGTACCCTAGAACTTAAAATATTAAAAAAAAAAAAAAACTCAGCAATAGTTAAGGAGCTATAATCCATATAAATTATATAGTACACAATACTAAATAGATTTTTTACTGTGCTCTGTTCTCTGAAAATAGAAATTAGATCTTCCACAAAAATTGACCTATATAAACAACACTTTACACAGTAATATTTTGGTACCTATGATTATGTACAGAGGGAAACCTATTTGTACTTGGACTCGTATCACAAATGACTCCTTCAGAAGGAGTGTAAAAATTGGTCCCATGAGCTGGTTGTGGTGGCACGCACCTATAGTACCAGCTACTTAGAAGGCTGAAGCAGAAAGATTTCTTGAGCCCAGGAGTTCAAGGCTGTAGTGAATTAAGACTGTGCCACTGCACTCCAGCCTGGGTGACAGAATGAGAACTTGTCTAAAAAAGAAAAATGTTCCCAATGGCAAGAATTCTGTTGTTTTGATATCTCCTGACACAAGAAAAGAGAATTAGAGAGGGGCTAAACAGAAGAGATCCCAACCCCAGCTAAATAAGAATATAGGCAGTCTACAGTGTCCAGATAGTAAGGCAAGTATAAAATGATGTAAAGTTAATAAACACTGTACACTTTGTGTAAAGCAAACTCTTATAAACACACAAAGACTGATAAATTTCTACCAAAGTATGAATACAAAACAAAAATGTGAAATCTTGGTTCAAACTGGCATGGAACTAGTTAACAGTGGATATTTAGGTCAGACAGAATCAACAGAACCCAAAAAGAAGTCCGGATGAAAACAGAAAATTTTTCCTTGGCTAGTGAGTTTTAAGTGGATATTTCTTGAAGAACTTTTAACTTTTCTCTCATAATTGCCATCTATTGCCTTTGTGCTCTATGTTTACACTAAGTACACTGCCACATGTTTTTGTTACTTTACTGTATTCCCTTCAGCCTCTATATCTTGTCTATCATTGACATAAGGTGTTCAGCACACTTTTCTTCTTCACCAAAAATTGCTGTAACACCCCCCACAAATTTGCTAGTATTTGAGAATGGACTATGTAACTCATTTAAACCAGGGCAGCAGAATCTGCCAGCACTAGACTTTAAGGGCTAAGTTAGGTCTGAGCTTATTATATGGCTTTTAAGGGTGAAGGAACTGAATAATATATTATGAAGATTAATATCTCAGGTTGAATAAACAATTCTTCATGCTGGGGTAGTTCACCTCTTTGGGATGCAGGACTGGGCTATAAGTAGAAATATCTTCTAGTATTTAAAACCAAAAATCTCACATCTTCTCAGGACAGAATCAAGTGAGAAACAGATGCTTCAGTCAAACTGCCACTAAATAGTGATAACTATAATATTTTGCTCTGATATAGTAGACTTTTTATTTGTTTTGGAAAATGATTCTAAGATTTTTACAAACAGACTCTCTAGTCTACAGAGCAATACTACTGAGCTGGTGACTACAGTAAAGTAACAGTTCTTGCATAACAATAGAAAAAGTGAGTTGTACTGTACTTTCTAGTTTGGAAAGTAATATATTGCTATGTATATAGCCAATAATAAATTTCATTTAATATGTAAGTAGTAGTTAATAAAAAAATTCCTGATTTTTTCTACTTTGAAAACTAAAAAGAGATAAGAAAATTTAAAAAAATTTACCATTTAAGTCTCTTTGATTCTGGAAATATTTTAATTAGGTTCCACTTTAAAAAAAAAGTCGTTTCCTTATTACCTCCACAGTGAGTACATTAACTACATTTTCACAAACAGAAAACTTACATACATTCAACTGTTTACAAGACATGTCTCCATATAACACATTTACATTCATGTGAAGTACATGAACTTCTTTAATTGTATATATTTATAACTCTTACATCTGGTACCTTTTAAAACAGCTAACATATAGTATGCTTATTTCCTATAAGTTAATTCATATATGACTAAGGTGAGAAGAATCTCTTTTGAAGAATTACGATAGTTATATTCATACCATGGGAAATCTATAGTTTTTCTAAACGTAAGTTTCAAGCTAAAGCTTTAGCAATTTAAGTTATTTAACTAGCAATGCATGAAATTCTTATCAGATTATCCCATTTGGATTACCAGTTTAAGTCATTTCAAGTGGTTCACAATTATTTGTGCATTGGTTGGGGGGAAAAGCACCAAGGATAATAAATTTATTTTTCATATCATAGATGAAATCACAGCACAATGATTTCAATATCCCTTCAAAAATCTAATCATTTATAAACAGCATTTATTTCAAATGCTCAATCTTTAAGCTTTCTTAGTGTGATCAACTGATACACTAGGGATAAGAATGGAAATGGTTAAAAACAGATGCTATACATAATATGTACTAACTTAACAGAATTCAGATTTCTCCTAACATTGTTGATTTCCATTTTTGAACTGACTTCTTTAGATCTAAAAAGAACTCTGAAAATAAATGTAACATTTATACATTTGTCAACTATACTTAAAAAGAAACTCTAAAGGTGCCTTTCTTGTCAACATATGAAACAAAAGTTTTCCTGATGAACAAGGCACCTTGTATGGTAAGGAAATATATAAAGAAAATATTTTCTACAAATTAATATATAAATCTATGTGCACAAAGGTGTAGTTCTCCCAGCTGCATATGTAATATTTTAAATAACATATAATAAAAAAAATTCAAAACACAGATTGAAAATTAGCCCATGTGGCTAATACTCCAGTTGTTAAATATTGCAGCATATATGTCACTGTAACAATTGGGAAAGATATTCTAATCTAAACAGTTAATGAAATCTCTCTGGAAAGATACTTTAAAAGTCCCCAGTATGTAACCCTGGCTATCAAATTTCAACCTAGAAGTTTTTACAGCTAAGATGCAATCCCATGAATATAAAAGTGTGCACAAAGGCCATCTAATCAGACTCTGCAGTACATAGCATTACTGGTGTGACTTTGGTACGAGCCTGCTGGGCTTTTATGTTCCTTTTCATTACTATGTGCACATGGTAAACATCATATTAACAACAATCAATTTTTATCACTATAAGTTTTGCTACTCACAGAATGCCTACAAACATTGTTTTAAACATTTCCAGATCATGACAAAAGTTCCTTACCTGAATATAAACAAAGAAACCCTTAGATTTAAAAACATTTTTAAGTGAACACATAAATGCATAAGGAGAAACATAAGAACATACTATTTTTATAAGTATAAAAAGTTCCAGCTTCTGCTAAGATTTCATTTCTTTTTCCCAGTGTTTTTTTTGTGTTCATGCGTTTCTGTTTTGCTAGTTATACTCTTTTTCCGAGATGAGGTATTAGGAACAACTGCACTAGAAGGTCCACTTGCAGCTACACAAAACAAAAACAAAAACAAAAAACTATTGCTTAAATTTACACAAACAATCCAAGTTCAAATAATACTGCTGATTGACAAAACAATTCTTGTTATAACTGTGATGTAAATGAAATGTAAAAATTTAATATAGCATTTTTAACCTTTTACTTTTCAGAATTCAACACAAATATAGAAAGGTAATGACAATGGACTGCGTTCATAAAATTAATTTCTCATTTTACTCTACATTCTTCCTAGGAAATGAATATATTTTTATAATTTTTAACTACCATTCATTGTGCTAATGATTTTTAAATTTATACTTTTGGCCTGGGCCTTTTCCTTTAGCTCAAGACATGTATATACAACTGCCAATTGAAACTTTCTTTAAAGATATTTGACAAGAAAGACAAACCATGTGCATAAACTGAACTCATCATTTTCCCTACAAGCATCTATTTCCTCCTGTATCTTCTATCTTATCCCACTCTAAAAAGCTAGAAGGTAAGAAAACTAGAAGCACTCTTAACTTAGGAATCATCCTTCCATATCTAAACCAATATGAAGTCTTAATGAATTATCAAAAAACTATTCTAGGCCAGGCAGGGTGATTCATACCTATAATCCCAACACTTTGGAGGGCCAATGTGGGAGGATCGCTTGAGCCCAGAAGTTCAAGACCAGCCCTGGCAACATAGTGAGACCCCCTTCTCTACAAAAAACTTTAAAAATTAGCTGGGTGTGGTGGCACACACTTATAGTCTCAGCTACTCAGGAGGCCAAGGTAAGAAGATTGCTTGAGCCTGGGAGGTTGAGGCTGCAGTGAGCTATGATTGCAACATTGTAGTCCAGCTTGGGTAAGAAAACAAGACGTTGTCTCAAAAGAAAAAAATGATAATAATTAATAAATAAATAAAATAAAAAAACATTCTAGGTGGCATTACTTTACAACATTTCTAATATGGATGAATAAATGTATGGGTAAGCTCTTATCAGACCAATCTTCCCACAGATAACAAATATACACTCTGTACTAAATATGAGGAAGAACTACCTGAAGACACTAAATAGTGAACAAGAGCAGGCCATTACTAGAGAAGAATCAGTACTTGGAAAAAGGGAACAATATGGGATAAGATTCCCCTTCTTTTTAGCCTGAGGATAGGCCCTAATACGCACCATGTACAATGGCTACAAGTCCAACATAAGAAGCAGAAGACAAGTATTGCGGCAACCACAGCTACTAGAAAGTAAGGTGGAAAATCTCAGAAAGGATGAGCCCACAATTCTATTTGTAAATGATGGTCAAATGTATGGCATGAGCAGAGTAAAGTCCAAGGAGCCCAGCTAAAGCAAAATGAACTGAAATTTTTGCCAGCCACTACATGGAACACCATGTTTTACAATCTGAGCTCAGCTAAGGCTAACTCTTTGTTTAAAAACAAACAAAACAATATTTTTTTTTGGAGGAATATAACAGAAATAACAAAATCCAGAGTTTCTGTAACATACCATTCACAATGTCTACAACATAATCCAAAATTAATATACTAAGAAACAGAAAAAGATCTTTCTTGCTGAGAATGCATAAATTGATACAGATCTCTTTGGAGATGAGTCAGATTAACAGACAAGAATTTTAAAGCAACAATTCTAACTATGCTCTAGGACAAAGACACATAAGTTTATAATGAATAAAAAGAGAAAAATCCCTGCAAAAAAACTATTTAAAAGAATCAAACAGAACATCTAAAAGAATAAATACTTGAAATAAAAGGTCTGCAATAAAAACTAGATGGGTTTAACAACAGAATGAAAAGTAAGTAAAAGTAAACATCAACCAAATCAACATCAACCAAATCAACATCTTTTTTGGAGTATTACCAAAAAAGAAAAAAAATATAGACATAAATATGCCATAGTCAACCTGCTGAAAATCAAAGATAAAGAGAAAACACTGAAAGCAAGCACAGAAAAACAACCCATTGCATTTATGCGAACAGTAATTCAAATTAACTAAGTCTTCTTAGCAGAAACAATGGGAACCAGAAGACAGTAGAATATCATTAAAGTGCTGAAATAAAAAATTTTCTACCCAGAATTCTCTATTTGGCAAAAACTACACTGCAAAAATGAAGGCAAAATAAAGCCATTTTTCAGACACAATAAAATGAATAGAATTTGTTGCCAACAGACCTGCAGATTAAGAAATGCTAAAAAGCTTCAGGCTGAAGGCAAATGAAACCAGATGGAAACACAGACTTCAAGGAAGGAATAAAGAGCAAAAAATGTGGCAAATATATGGATAAATATAGAACCTCTTTCTCCTCTAAGTTTCTTTAAAATACATATGACTGCTTAAAGCAAATATCATAACATTGTATTACAGTGTTTATAATATATGTGGAAGTAACACATAAGGATAACTATGTATAAAGAATGGGAAGAGCGTAAGGTAAATGAATCTATACAGTGGCAAGGTTTCTATATTTTACTTTCAGTGGTGCAAAATTAACCCTAAGTAGATGGTGAAAAATTAGGAATATATATTTAGAGCAACAACAACAACAACAAAAATGCAAAAAGATATAGCAAAAGTCCATAGAAAAAGTTAAATAAAATTCTTAAAAATATTGAATTAGTACAAAATAAGGTAGAGTAGGAAAGAATAAAGGTATAATCATCAAAAAGAATAAACAGAAAACATAAAGTAGTAGACTAACCTCAACAGATCAATAATTACATTAGATGTTAATGAACTGTAAACTGCAACTATAAGGCAGATATTGTTAGAATGCCTTGCATAAGAAAGTTTGATGACCTATATCACATCAGATAAAACAAACCTTAAAAACAAAACATTAATGGAAATTAAAGAGAAAAAAAGTCATGATAATAAATGAGTCAATATATTAGGAAGATCCCATAATCAAATATGCATTTAATTATATAACAGAGCTCCAAAACACACAAAGCAAAAATCTGCCAAATGAAAGGGAGAAACAGACAATTCGGCAGTTGTGAGTGTAATTGCTCTCTGTACAATTGATAGAACAACCAATCCCTTCCTTGACCACCTCTCTGCCAAAGAAAAACCAAATAGTAAAGACTCACTATCTGAACATTATCAACAACCTTGACCTCAGGCACAATGATAAAATAGTGTCCATTAGGATCAATGAACTATAAGACAAACATTTGGGTTTTTTTTAGTACACATATTATATTCAAAATATTCCAGATGTTAAGTCATAAAGTAAGTCCTACATTTAAAAGACTGAAATGACACGGCATATGTTTTTATAACTGCAATGGAACTAAATAAGAAATTGATTAAAAACAATAAAAAACCCCTCAATATTTGGAATTTAACCAATATAATTCTAAATATGCAATGGATCAAAGAAGAAATCACACATAAACTAGAAAATATTTCTAACTGAATGATAATGAAAATACAATATAACATTTGTGAGACGCAACTAAAATGCTTGGAGGGAAACAAAGTTTTAAATGTTTGAAATAGATAACAATCAATGACCTAAGAAACTAGAAATAGAGGATAAAAGTAAACCGAAAGAAAGTAGAACGTAGAAAATAATTTTTTAAATAATTAAAATAATTTAAAATAATTTTTAAAAAAATTGTGTTTTAAGGCCGGGTGCCGTGGCTCACACCTGTAATCCCAGCACTTTGGGAGGCTGAGGCGGGTGAATCACCTGAGGTCAGGAGTTCGAGACCAGCCTGGCCAACATGGTGAAACCCCATCTCTACTAATAACATAAAAAAATTAGCCAGGCGTGGTGGCAGTCACCCGTAATCCCAGCTACTTGGGAGGCCGAGGCAGAATTGCTTGAACCCGGGAAGTGGAGGTTGCAGTGAGCAGAGATCACACCATTGCACACCAGCTGGGGCAACAGAGGGAGACTCTGTTGAAAAAAACCAAACAAAAAAAAAATTGTGTTTTAAACATAAAACCAGCAGAAAAACAAAGAGCCAAAAGTTGGTTCTTTGAAAAAGCCAACAAAATTGATAAATCCCTAGTGAGAATGATCACAAAAAAAGAACACAAATTACCAGTATCATGAAAGTTATTACCACATTCATTAAAAAGATAATAAAAGAGCAACAAATTTGACAACTTACATAAAATGAACAAATTCCTAAAAAAAAATACAACTACCAAAAGTATCACAAAAAGGAAAGATAAATTCTATCAAAATTAATTGAAATAAAATTAATTCTACCAAACATTCAAGGAAGAAATAAAAATATTATAAAAACTCTTTCAGAAAATAGAAAGCACTTCCAAATTATTTTATGAAGCTAGCATTACTCTGATACCAAAACCTGGAAAAAGGCATTACAAAAACAGAAACAAAAATATTACAGACTAATATCCTATCTTTTACAAATGCAAATGCAAATTTCTTCAAAATCAAATTCAACTATTTTTTGTCAGCATTTTTCTATCTTAACTTCGTGACACATTTGATTGTATTGTTGATCCTTCCTGAAATGCTCTCTTACCCTGACTTCCAAGATATTATTCTATCATGATATTCTTTCCGTTTCTCTGATATACTTTTCCGGTTGATGATCCTTCTTTTTCCCACTTTCTTATCCCATACAGTTACATGCTACTCTGTTCGTTTGTCTTACCCTATGTTTTTTTCCTCCGAGAATTTTATAGACTTTCATATATATAATATATCATGACTGAGTAGGGTTCATCCTAGGAATGCAAGGTTGACTTAACATTTGAAATGTCAAATATAACACCATTTGTACTTTATTACTTAAAAATGTATATGAACTAATACATTTATTATGTGTCTAAAGAACAATGTACTGAGTCAAAATGCATTCAAATCCTAGGTCTACCGACCACTAGCTATGTAAGCTGAGATTAAGTTACTATCTCTGTTACTTTTTTCATCTGTAATGGACATAAGAATGGTATTGACCTCTAACATTTATAGTGAAAACTATGAGAATAGAAAAAAGTTTATAATATAAGTAACTATACAAATGTTAGCTTTTTGTGGTATATGGGATGCATCACAACTTATATTTAAGATACTTACTCAATTGTCTGTTGTTTCACATACTTATTAGTTGGAATGTGCAAGGTTCAAATCTATAATATTTGTGGTTTAAGATACTGCCCCTGACTTACAAGGCCTGGTAATCTGATAGTAATCAGGTATACTAGATCAAATCAGTAGCACAGAGCATTATTGAAGTTCATGTTTTGATAATCATAAAAATACATTATCAGTGGAAGAGGTCGGATTGAGTCTTGAAGGATGTGAGGTAAAAGGGATAACATTTTAATAGAAAAAAAAAGGCATGAATGCTAAGGGAATTTATTTGGGGAGAAGTAAAGAGAGCAGTTTGGATACAATATAACAATTAATAGCAGTTACCATTTAGTGAGTGTTTACTATGTGTGCCAAGTACTTTATATATAAGATTGCAATTATTTCTGACAATTTTATGAAGAAGGTAGTATTACCCTGATTTTATGACTATGAGACTAAAGATCAGAGAGGTTAAGTAACTTGTCCAGAGTCACACAGCTAATAAGTAGCAGAACTGAGATTTTAATCTAGGTTTCTCTGACTGTTAAGCATAAACTCTTAATCAAAAGAACATTTGAGAGCACTAAGAAGAAAAGAATGAAGACATCTGCAATGAGGCCGTTGTCAAAGCTTTGGAGGTATATGAAATTCTCTGAGGAAAAAATATATAAGGTAAGAAAAATGAATAGAGTATCATGTTCTTGTCTGGGATAAGAAAGAAGAAAGAAGAAGGATCATCAAACAAGAAAAGTAGAGGAATAAGATAAATGGATAGAATATCACAATAGAGTAATTGGGTAAGACAGCATTTCAGGAAAGGCCAAAAATATTAAATGTGCCATGAAGCTAAAGTAGAAAAATACTAATAAAAGATAGTTAATTTTGGTAGTCACATAATCAGACTGAGAATGGAGAGATGCAAATATTCTCAGTAAAGAGAAAACAATTTTTTTCTTTCTTTTTTTAATACTTGAGACAGGGTCTTGCTATGTTGCCTAGGTTGGACTTGAACTCCTGGGCTCAAGTAACCCTTATACCTCCACTTCCTGAGTAGCTGGGATTACAGGTGTATACCACTATGCCTGGCCCATAGAAATTTTCATATAAGATGATGCCTTAAACTCAAAAGAAAGGCAAAAGAAGACAGTCCATAAATTAGTTTGGGGAAAAGTGTGATTGTGAAATATATTTTGTGAAGAGATGTGGGGAGAGAGGAAGACAACAGACAAAAAACACATATATATCAATAGACTACAATAATAGATTTTTAACCCTTAGGATCATTACGTTCTAGGGAAGTGTAAAGATCCTAATTAAAAACAAATTTAACATTTAAAAAGCAAGTTACTATTCCTCTTATTTCTGGGGCAAATCCACAAACTCAACACACACACCCCTAACCTGGTTTGCTGCTTGCTTTAGTACTCTTTAAGGTAGCTGGTGGTGTTGGGAGGATCTTTGCAGGTGTATACGTATTTAAAGATACTTTTTTTCTCATTATTGGACTGGAACGTAAAGCTGTAGAGGCTGAAAAAAATAAACAAACGTTAATTTAATAATTTCCTGCCAATTATATCTTAACATCACAGAAAATTTCTTATAATTTAGTGAACCTACAAATATTCATAATAACAGAAGAAAATGGTCAAGGTAAGCTTTGCAAGGTAAATTCAGCAAAATCATCTTTTTAAATAAAAAGATAGTTCTCTTATGGCCTTAGACAAATCGATGTTTTGTTTATATTGTAAATAATAAGCATTTAAATAGTATGCACCAAAGAAATGCCAAGAAGAGAGCAACAGACTTTATCCTTTCCTGACAGAAACTGAGGTTTTTAAGGCATGGAAAAGAGCTAATGGCATAGTTTTCTTGAATGGTAACAGAGTCAGTAATCCCCTCACCAGGTGTGGTAGTTCATGCTAGAATTACAGGCATAAACTACCATGCCTGGCCAGGGACTGGGAGGATAAATTTCAACTGGCTAATATAGAAAAATAATTTGATTTATTTATTACTTACAATTTAGTTAGGCCAAGGCAGGAAGATCGCTTGACCCCAGGAGTTCAAGACCAGCCTGGGCAACACAGGGAGGCCTCATTTCTATTGAAAATTTAAAAATTAGCTGTGTCTGTGGTTCCAGCTACTCGGGAGGCTGAGGCAGAAGGACTGCTTGAGCCTGGAAGGTTGAGGCTGTAATGTGCCATAATTGTGCCACTGCACTCCAGCCTGGGCGACAGAGCAAAACTCTGTCTCGGGGGCGGGGGGGAATAAAGAGACAGAGTCTTGAACTGTTTTTCTCTAAGAAAAAATAATAATTATAGATTCGGGGATGTTTCATCTACAAATATAATGGTATACTAAACTACCATATTTAGGAATAAACTAATTAAGTTATAAGTAATAAAAGACACTATTTTCCTATATTAGCCAGTTGAAATTTAACTAAATAAGAGGGAGTGAATTTTAAAGTTGGGTTTTTCCGGCTCTCTTTCTAACTAAGACAGAGAAATTGAAAGGTGTAAAAAGGAGAAGTAGGGATAATTCTTAAGTATGGAATCCTCTAGGCAAGGACAGGCCAACGTAGGGGATATTAGGAAGAACCAATAATCAAATATGCATTATATAACAGAGCTCCAAAACACACAAAGCAAAAATCTGCCAAATTAAAGGGAGAAACAGACAATTCTGCAGTTGGGAGTGTATCCAATATATTGACTCATTTATTTATCCACTACCGGCATGAGCTTGTAGATTCCCTAAACAAAGGGAGATGCAGCGTGCTTTTGAAAATCAAGATGTGGGCTAGTTATGGCAAATGTGCCTTTGCTGGTTGACACCTACAAAGAATGATTATACATTTAACTGAGAGAGCTCAAAGTAGTTATTAATGAAAATAATCTAAGTGATAAAAAGTCCTTAAAACATCATAAAACAACATAAGTTTACTTAGCCCTTTCCTGTTTGCATATTTTTACCCTACTCTATGAACTTCCATCACTAACTTATCCTAATTAATATACCTACTCCTTTTTCTCCAACCTGATATTGTCCCTTCCCCATTGTAAGCTATCTTTTAGTATTAATATTTATTTATTTTGCCTTAGGTGAGAAAAAAAACTTGGAAGGACAGAGAATGATTAACAGTTCCTTTTCCCTTGATATAAACACCACAAAATGAATATAATTCTATGATGATATATATATATCAAGTTACAGCTTGATAACTCAGAGAACTAATTGCAAATAATATAAATATCCTATGATTTAATAAATATTATTCCTATAGTTACTCTATAAAATGCAAGATTCAAATACTTTCATCATAACTGGCACCCTATTTTCTCTGCTATTCAAAAATAATGAGAAAAATAGAGGCTTTAGAAGACCTGGGTTTTAGTCTTGCTTGACCACTAACTCATTGATTTCCTTAACTGTATCTTTCTGTGATTTTTTTCTTTAAATGGTAAAGCTGTTCTTAAGTGAAATCTTAAATTAAATAGACCAAAGCAGATACTCTGGTTGAAGCAGCTATGAAAGACACAAGTCCTAACTATTCAGCATCTTTCTCTTCCTCATGAAATTTCCACAGGCTCTTGGGAATACAGTTTGAAGACCAATGAACTAGATTATCTCTAAGGTTTATCCAATTCTATGAGCCACATTAAGTACATTTACTTTCTCATTCAGTTCTGTTAGTAACTAATTGCACGAAATTTTAAGAGAGCTAGAGGGACTGAGGTACAATTTGTATCCATGATATACAGAAGAGCTAATTAGAAATTAGCACAACCGAAACAAGAATCTAATATCCTTTGCTTCATTAATATCCTTCAGTAATATACTCTGATGAATTGAATTCACTAACCACAAAAATGAATCCATCAAAAGTATCACAAAACAAACCTTAAAATGTTATCTTTTTGTAAATATTCTACTAAAATTCTCCTTTCATAACAAACACCTCCTTACTATTTTTATTACCTTCAAATCATTCACTGCAAGTCTTCTAAAATCTAAATAGTATTGATATCTACCCCTAAATTCTTATTTACTAATTAGAATAATTCTTTAATCTGTATTTTAAGATTTCAAATCCTTTCCCCAGGGAAGCAATGAAACATCATTAAGGGTGAAGGGGTAAACTAGAATTTATTCAGGTTCTCTACTGTATTCTGAGGTAACAGCATTGTCCATTCTATCAGGTTATAGAAAATATAAAAGGAGATGACCACCTTCATTTTCCTGACTCTGACCTTTACCACTTGGAGAAGTTATTTCATTTGGAGTATTATCAGTTCTAAGAATCGGACACATATATATGCAAATTTTTAAATTAAGACCTACTTCCTAAAACCATCCCTAAAGTGAAATACTTTAGAACACTCACCAATATACATCTCTATTACTGTTAATGATTGAAAGCTGGCCTCTACTACCAAAAACGGAAGAAAACGGAAAGGTCACTACTTTGTATAAATGCAGGGGGTATCATTTAGACAGAATATAAAGAGAATAGAGCTCTCTAGAATTATACAATGTGGTGGCCCAGGAAAGAGAAGAGAGTGACGGTCAGACATAAAAGTGGCATTCATTCCGAGAGCTCTAATATCTCATTTTATTCTTGAGCAAAATTTATTTACAGCACTCAAAAAAAGAGGAATGATATACAAAGAAAGTTTGTCACTTTCTAAGATATGACTAGAATAGTAAGATTCTTAGCTCTAAGCAAAAAGCACTCTCTCCCAAAACTAATGCTTTCCAAACTGGAATTTCCAAAGTACTGAGGAATCCTACAGAGCTGAAAACGACAACTGGCAGCTGACTTCTCACACCTAAAAAGGAAGCCCTGAGCATTTCCCAAAATGATGTCCCTCAGAATAGTGCCACATGATATTTAATGTGTTACCAAAAAAGTGTTTTCTAAAAAATAAGTTTTGGAAAATCTGGGTTATACAGCCTTCTTTACAGAAGAACGTCAGCCTTTTATATGCTAATACAGCTATACCTCTCCAACAGGAGGCGGGATATAACATAGTTTCTAAAACTTATTTAACCACGAACATCTTTCCTTCAAACACACAAATTAATCTCTTCAGAATGTTTTCTGAGATACACAATTTGAAAAACTGTTGTCCTAATTTGCTGTCTTTAGTTAAAAGCTCTTTCTACTTACCAAAGGTAGTTAGGAGATGAGTGTGTATGAGTGGGTTAATGCGGACTGTTATTTTGCAGTTTTAAAAAACTTTGCTATAAAATTATATACAATAGGAATGTGAGATTTCTAGCAAACATAGTTTTAACAAAAGACCACAACCCTATATTTTGTTGATTTCTGCTGCCTTTTTTTTTTTTTGGTAAGAAAAAAAGAATTTGGCAGAGAGTAAAAAAAAGAGCTACAGTTCACATTACACCAAAGAATTCCTAATAATGTCCCTTTATACTCCTTTGTTCCCTAAACTTCTACTCATTACCACTACCTGCTTTTATGTTTTCATAATTTCTGTTATATTCGGATAGTATGTAGTGGCCCAGCAACTAAATAATAACAATGAAAGAAAAATTTCCTACAAATTTCAGGGGTCTTCCGTGGAACATCAGATGATGGAGAAGCAATGGAAGCAAGAAATTCATCCACTTGCTTTAAAGATAGGGCATTATGAAGAGTTTCTAGAGGACAAATAGATGGCACCATGGAATACAATTCAAAGCCTAGAAGAGAAAAAAACCAAAAACAAAAAATAAAAGATGGATATTTTAAAAATCAGTAATTAAAAAGGAAGACTACTGTTTAGAACTGGACAGTTTAGGTCTTTTCAATCTATCACATGCAAACACACAATATCTCTGAAGTCATGACACCAGATGCTATGCAATATGGAGCTGGAACAAGATGTGACAAAGATTTCTTTTTAAATGTAATCATGTAGTATAGCATGCACACAATTTCATTCTATATTGGTAAAATCTAAGAATAATACTTTAAAAACCTAGGGAAAAAAAAACAAAGAAATACAAGTTTTCAGTTTTTATTTTTTGAAGTCAGGTCTATTCAGTGGGTGAATAAGCTGATGCCACATGATGTATACCTGATGCCAGGATGCTAACAGTAAGTTCTTGTTGAAAAATTATATAATTACTTGTGAATAATTTTTTTAGATACTTTTCCAGGCGTGCCAAGACCAATGACACTCTCTAATATGAGCCCAAAACAACATTCATTCATTTCATGCTGGAATAAAAATTCCAAAACGTATTTCACCTACCTTTACTGTATTAACACATAATTATATTACTAGGAATCACTGGCTGTGTAAAGTTAGGTCAAGTTAAAAGCAATACAAAATACAAATATGATCCTATTTTTAACAATGGCACAGAAATACAAAAATTTCATGAAACAACCATGCAAATATGTATTAATACCATCACTGAAACAAAAGCACTTAAATACACAGTTTATGTTTTCAAACAAATAGGATATAGGTTATTCACTTTTTAAAAAAAGAAAATTGCCTGTTTATTTAAACTTTATTCAACTGAATGGCTTTTAAAATTGCTTTCATATACTGTTAAAAATAACGAGTCTTTCTGCATCTACTCTTCTAAAAATCCAAACAAATTTCCCCCAGTTAAATACCTATAATACTCAAATAAAATTTTCTATCAAGTCAAATATCATTAAAAGTAAAAATTAACCTCAGACTGCAAGACTCTTTGCTTCAATAGGTGTGTGCTCATTTTTAAATTGACTGATGTTTGATTTATTTAAATATTGAAGGAAATATTGACTCAAGAACTGCCTAATTCTCAGTTAGAATAAGGAAACTTTGGTTAAAAGAGAATCTAATCTTCCTAGGAAGATAACCAAAGGACTTGCAAAACTGGTATGTCTGATTTTCAGGTACAAACCAAAGCATGACAGAACATTACACATATTTTGAAAACAAAAACAAAAACAAAACTATACCATAACAGCAGCTAAAGCACCTAAATTAAGCACTAAAGAAATTAGGCTTGCACAACTGTTACATTTTTTAGAAGTACAAGATTCATGCAAATGAGCGCAAACCCTTTCTTTGCATTACACTAAACTTAACGATGAGATCTTTTCTTCTTTCCTCACAAGGTTTATATATCTTTTATAGCAATTATTTTATTTCATTTGCCTGCTAGATTTTATAACAGGCAAATGACAATATAATTAAGTTCCTCTAGACTACATTTTTTTCCACTTATCTTTAGTAAACTTTTCCTTTGATGCACAATGAAAGGGTTAGCGCAGCAATTTAAAAAGCCACCCTGCTGACATGTTTAGAAGCTATAAAAACATACCACTGGAGCCTAGAAATTCCACAGAGGAAACGGACCAGCACCTATAGAGGTGTAGGTGTTCTGCACAGAGGCCCAGAAAATAAGGTAAAGCACTGTCAGAAGGTACTTGTTTCACCATGTTCCTTGAACTAAAGATGAAGGGAGGGGTAAGTCCATGATATGTGTTAAAGATGGAAATAACATGAAAGTTAGGGGAAATAAAAAGTAAAACGAAGAGTCAAATGACAATTTGTAAGACAGATAAGACAACACAGTATTAAAAAAGGAAAAAAGGAAACCTTAAAACTCAAAATAAATATTTGTAGAATTGAAAGGAATGCATCTCATATGCATTTATATGTGCGGAAAATCCACATTTTTTTAAAAAGAGCCTAAACCAAAGGAATATAAAATTACTCTATTTTCTATTAAAATTAACAGAAATATTTTTAATTTTTAGAACCTTCAGTTAAACACAGATTCTCCTAGATAATAATACCTCGAATACTGGTTTTAAACACATAGCATTCAGTACAAAAACTATGGTCTTAAACCTGCAATGTCTCTTCTTAGAATTTTTGTGGCTTCTGTTTTTCTTGTGACTTCTGTGTTTCTTCTAAGAGGTTCTTAGGCATGCGGGTTCTTTAGAAGCTGCAGCTGTATCAAATAAGAATCACTTTCTTCAAAAAGTAGCATTTAAACAGCTACAATGAAGGGAAAGTACATTAAGCTTTAAGGCTAAATTTTTACTTGTTGAGGATGAGATCTTCTTATTCCACCTTCAAGAATTATTAGTGCAATGTTATTTAGACGTGTTGTTAAAGGATCCAGAACGGGGAGAATGACCATAAACTTGTGTTGAATCCTTTAGCTTCATAAAAGTTTCTGAAAGATCTGACTTGAGTTTTTGAAAGACTTACTTGCAGTTAAAAAGAAAAAGAGTTCCAGGGATAAAAGTATCTTCATTCCATGTGTAATACAAGCAAAAATCTGTAAGTTTTCTTTTAAATTCTTTGATCCTGAATTATTGTAAAATGATCAGTAAATATTCCCTCTTGCTCCACAATATCAAGGTCTATGTTAGATGTTATAATGCTGCAATAATTCCTTTTACAAATAATGGTCATGAAAAACTTTCCTATTCAGCCTGAAAAATGGAATTTAACAGAATTGGGTTTCTAGATCTTAACTTAATCTTCCTCTTATTAGGAGCCCTCTAAATTTTAAGAAAAGCAGCGGTACTAAAAGGAATTGGTTGCTTGATAATAGCAAACCACATTGCTACACAAGAACAAAGTGAATGCTGGACAAAGTTTTCAGAGTGCTCCAGACCAAATAGGGTTTTGCTTTAGGAAAATAGCCAGGAACAGACGATGTTATACAGAGAAATATGCATCACCAGGTGCCCAAGAATTTTTCAAAGACACATCTTATTTGGCTATTTGACATGGGTGACTCTGTATATTTGTTTAACTATCTCAATAAAACAACCATATGATCAGAAAATTAGGAAGAAAAAAGTTATTGAGAATTAAGAAAAATTAAAGAATACTAATTGAAATTTAAAAATTTGTGTAGACTGATCATCTGAGAAATTAGAAGAAATTTTCAGGTGTTAATTTAGCATTAAAACTCATCATCATTGTGGTCATTTAAAAGTTTGATGAGTAATGTTAAATTACTATATAAATTACAGCTGAAAAGGGAGCTAGACAGTATCAATAATTTGGGTGAATAACAAGTTGGAATTGTATGCCAATTGATAATAAGGATGAAGAAATGAATGATACTGTATACCCCACATTTTGAAATAAAATAAAAATAAAAAAGGGATGAAGCAGGGGAGTATCTTTTAAAATAAAAGCAAAACGTACCATTGGTTGGGTGTCGAGCAAATGAGATAGAAAACCTTTTAACAGCAGAACCGCGTGTGGCGTCTAAGAAAGAGAAAAACAGGTACCTGAAATTCGTAACAGCTACAAAAAGAAGAACACTTAAAAGAAAGAAGGGAAAAACAAATATATGAGGTTAGAAAGGTGGCATGCAGAAGGGACAATGACAGAAGGTAATAAGGCAAATATTGGTTAAAAGAAGTTAACTAGCTTGATGACAGAGGAAAAGTGTCAAATGAAATATACAAAAGAAAGAAAAGCAAGATGAGCTGGCAATTCTGGTAAATCCATGTTTTACTGTCTAAAATAAATGTGTTGATAAATGAGAAACTGTTTTAAATAAAGATGATCCTGAAAGAGCTAGAACCACTACTCTTAACAAAAGGGACACGCTTCCATGAGCCTCAAAAAATTCTGAATATTAAAACTTAAGGTATATTAACAACATTAAGAGGATCTCCTTCAGCTAGGGATCCTAAAATATTCTCATCCTGTGTTTATTTTTATAAAAATATTGCCAATATAATATTGTCCTCTACTTATAAACATTCCACTCACTTTAATTAGCTCAATAAGTAAAATAAGTGTTAACAATAAATAAAAGTTTAAAAGATCAAAGAAACACTTGTTCTTTATAATATAGATTATAAATTATCTAAAAGAAGAATACACACAATACTATTTTCCATTTCAACAAACTTATCGTACAAGTACTCTAAACCTAACTACAATTAACTGTCTGATGAAACATGGATCCAAGTTGTAGGTAACAGAGAGCACTGATAGTCATTTAGGCAAAAGATGACAGGATTTCACTCGAATCAGTCAGTGGCCTTAGATTTGCCTTTGAGAAATACTGCTCATGGGTGTGTGCTTGGGTGTAGATATGAATCTGTGTGTGCATGTGTGCACATACCATCTATGCAGCCAGAAGAGGTCAGCTTTTTACGATGAGTACGAGCATAATCCTGTAGGTTAGGTGCGCTTGAAGAACCCCCGAGCACCGAGGTGCTAAACAGGCCCGCACAGTGAGACCCTGATGGGAGTTAGAGAAAATACATACACAACGGGTGTTCTTCCATTCACATTGGGAATTCATGCAGCATGCAATTAACATGGCTCTTACCACATATAAGGCAACTTTTGGAAGTGCCTTGAACAGGCTCACAATATTCTTGTAATTTCCTAATGATGTCAGTTTTAATACAATACTTCTAAACACCACTATCATTTATCATAGGTACAAATGGGGTAATTTAACATTGGACAAAATGTTATCTTTGAGAAAAAAAAAATGTCCATACAATAATTAGACATATACATCCTAAAGTATTAAAAACACTGCCATAAAAATAACTTAGGACAAGAAAGAACTCTGTTAATCAATTCCCAAGGGCAAGCCATATTTAAAACAAAAAAACCAAAAAAACCTCAAAAACCTCTCCTAGCACAAATTAAGTCATATAAAATCAGTATTTTTAATGTATATTTATAAACGACAAATCTTTCCTGATGCCCCTGAATTAAGAATTACTACTCTTTCTTATGAAATAAAGTATATCAAAATTTATTTATTTGTGAGAAGACCAGGTTCTTTTCAGTCATTCAAGGCCTAAATCACTTTACTTAACAAATGACTTAATATCTTAATTAATAAGACCCCCAATGAAAAACATTACTAGCAAATAAAACAGTCAGTATAAACTGATGCTCAATTTGTAGCAAAAGTTTTTACATCCAAATAACACTTTTATCACTGGGGAAGGATTAAATAAATTTCTATCAAATATACTATGATACATCAATAAGAAGGAGTAATATATAAATTTCTATAAATATACTGTGGGAATATTAAAAACTATCATTACAAGCTATATGAAATTAACTAAAGAGAGATCCTCAAGTATGTAGGCATCAACACAGTTCATACACTTAGTACAGAGATCACAGTACATACATAAACTTACAATGAGATCTGTTTATGCCTTTATTAAACCTATCAGGACAACTATTTACAGAAAATAATATGCCACTATCTCATAGTTTATCAACCATGAGCTTTAAACCAAATGACTTTAGAAAGGTCTTTTCCAATGTTGCTTTGAGTGTTAGCAAAGAACCAATTATGTTCTATAGGTTAATAAAGACTGAGAGTGCCACTGTGCATTAGTTTTGCTTGGTTTTCCTTATGAGCTGCTCAAAGGAAAATTAATATATTCATATATGGTTTGAAGTATTCCATACTTTAAAAATATTTTCAGTCAGAAAAATGGAAAGTTCCTTTCTGCATGCAATAGCATCTTTTCATCTTTATCAACTGGGAAAATGACATTTCCTTCATAAATTAACTTACAGAGTACAAGATTAAAAACTAGCATTGGCAAGTTAACTAAGTGGTTATCACTGCAGGCATTCAAAAGGGTTATGCAACAAAACTGAATGCTATCTCTTCTTCATTTTATCAAAACTATATTTTGAGTTATACAACTCAACATTTCTGAATTAGTACACATCAAATAAAAACTACAGCATAGCATTTGGTCATGCTTTCACCAAAGAGTTTTACATGTGTGCACAATAGTGAGTTTAAGAAGGGTATGGAACACAATTTCCTTTACACCACATACCTACAGTAGGATTCTGCTTCTGTTCCACAAGAGTTCTCGGTGTTCGCAGGTAATTAGCATTTTCAGATACAACCTGCATAAGGAATCCAAAGTAAATGAAGTAAAACAGTAAAATAAATTAAAAAGTCCACACTTCATATGCAGCCTGTTCCAGACAGACAAAGGTTAATAAGCTGTATGATAAATATTAGTAGAAATACATAAAACATGAAAGATCATGCAAGATCCCCTTTTGAAGGGAGTCCATTTCATGAGGTCCTTGCAATGAAGTGGTGCGAAGCAGGCATTCAGAATGAAACATCATGTACGAAACAAGACAGATGAAAAGAAGCAATTAAGAGATTGATATAATTTCACTGTTAAAAGAAGCCAAATGCCCACTCTTAAACAGCTCCTGTATTTGAAGGGGGAAAAAACAACTACAAACAAAAGAAAGGGCAGACAGAGACTCTTGAGATCACCATACAATTATTGATCCATGCATGGGCTTTATCAGAGTAACCTTTAAATATTCACAGCCTTAATGGATACCATAATCCCTTTTCCTATAATCAAATGCATTATATTTCCAAAAGGAAATTGCTGAAATTATCAGAAACCTCATGTGTGACAGTAGACCTTCCAACATAATAGAAATCATGTATATTTTAAGTTTCCAAATGTCATCACGGAAAGTCCTTCTGAAGTAATTTTATTTTGACACATATTGTTGATGGGCACATATGCAATTGTTCCCTCTTAAAGAGAACATTAAAATATTATACAGTCCAAAGAAAAACAGACTGTATGTATTCCTTAAATTAGATACTTCCAAATAATAGAATAATGAGGAAGAAAATTATCAATATTTGATATATTCTGCTAATTAAAACTGGGCCACACAAATTCTGGTATTTTCAAAAATGTTTACATTCTCAGCAAATTCCAAATTGAATCTAATTTTTTCAAATATGGAAGAAAATCTTAATACATTTTCTTACAATCAAATTACATAATTTGTTTCTGAAAGTTTTAAAAGACAAGTCAAAAAGAAAGATTTCTTTCATTTTTAAATAATTTTGTTAATAAGGTAAAATTCCAGGAGAATAACATTTATTGATTGTTTTTAAAATCCTGGATATTTGGAATCTTCTCACTAAAAATACTAAACACATGCCATGGAAGTGATTTCTTTCCCTCGAATATTGGCAGATATCATAAGTATTTTTAAATGAACTCAAAATTAAAAAACCGAAGGATTTACTCTGATGTGAAATACAAGGGATTAGATGTCCTCAAAGACAGCTGTTTGTTGCTCTGAATGCAGGGAGGAAAAATGTTTAATGAAGTAAAGTTTAAAAACCTGTTGCCATGAGCCAAAAATACTGGATGTGAAAGCCAATGATTTGGGGGAGACAGGGGAAGAAGTGATTTGTTCCCCTGATCTGCGTCTTCGACGCCCAGTACCCACACCACTGGTATAATGCAGCCAGGTACCAGTACCCTCTGGGCTAGACACACTCAGGGGGCTCTCTTCCTGGAAGTGAGAAAGGGGGCAAAAAAAAAAAAAAAAAAAAAAAAAAAAGCAGAGCATGCGAAGTTAGATACAACAGAGCCAAATGATCAGAAAGAAAAAAAAATACAGTTTGTTTGTATTTGCTTATTAATTTTTTTAAAAAACTATTAAACAGCAATTTGGGAGCCAAATATTTCACTATTTGAGAATTTGATAGGAATGACTAATAAATCTAATTGCATGTGATAACAATTATGGAAATATTTTATTACATTAAAAGACATAAAATACTTATACTGCTTCATAATTGTCCCTTCCCTGTTAAAACTGGAAATATTTTAGTAAGTTTCTTTTTTAGCAACTTTTAAAATATAAAGGTTTTCTGCTTAACTTTAGATATTCAAAGATTTTGTCCTATTTTGGGTGAATTTTTCAACCCAAGGCACTAAAGAATTGTGCAAAGGGTCAAAGGGATTTCAAGATACATAACTTAGAAAACTAAATCTGTCTGCCTGACATATTTAAAAAGTTCAGAGATCATAAGATGGACTCAAATTGCACCTGTTTATACTTTCAAGCTATCTATTTGCCCCCTCCAGAGATTATTTACAGATTTAGTAGGCAAAACATGCAGCAAACATTCTCATTATACATGTTTGCATGTTCAGGTTTCAGAGAGTGAGGACAGAGTAAAATCTACTTGCACAAAATGAAGAAAACAGTCTTTTTCTCTGTGTGTCTTTTGGAAGTACAAACTTCTGATATCCATGGAGATGATGGACGCTGGAAAAAGTCTTCAAGATTTTACTTGAGTAATTTACCTTATGGAAGTAAAAGTTTAGCATGGCATAGAAATAATCTCTTGAAATCAACGAAGTATTTATGAGAAAAAGGTTTATAAATGTGTTTTGTGTTTTAAAGATTAACGAGGACAGTGCTTTTGTTAGAGGTTTTATAAATATAGATAAGTTGCAAAATGAAGATTTACAATACATTTTGCTGTATTCAGTGTTATATAGGCTTTTTGGAGGGCAGAGGAGAGGCTTTAATGGTGAAATTCTGAATAATTTGATTAACTATAGATTGCTTATTCAATAACACATCAAAATCACTGCACTCACACAAATAGTAGTATAGGTTATATTAATTAACATAGCTTATGTCCCAAATTTTCTAAAACTAAGGATACTTGAACATAATCCCAGATTTTTCATTTTTTCCATTAAGTTATAATAGTACAAATAATTCCAAGTTCTATAATTGTTAAACACCCTCTTTTATAACCGTCTTCTTTTGTAATTAAAATATCACATTCAAGGGAATCTTAATGACTATATAATTTCCATTATAAAGTTATAAGGATCTACTTTATGGACAGATTTTTGCCTATACAAAATTGTCAAACTGGAGCACATATACTTTTGAACTTTCAGAATCATAAAACACATATATTTGCATAATTTGGGGCTGTAGAAATGAGCACAATTCTTTTTGTTGTTTTTATTCTCACCTATCAAATGCTAAAAAATGTTATACCTAATTCTTCAGACTTGGCATATTTAAATAATTCTTTTTTCTAAAAGTTGATGGTTATATCTTAATTTCTTCCTTTACACATACATATATATATATGTATGTATATATATGTGTATATATGTATGTTTGTTTGTTTATTTATTTTTTGAGACAGAGTTTCGCTCTGGCTGCAGTGCAGTCAGGGGCAATCTCGGCTCACTGCAACCTCCACCTCACAGGTTCAAATGGTTCTTCTGTCTCAGCCTCCTGAGTAGTTGGGATTACAGGCCCACACCACCATGCCCAGCTAATTTTTATATTTTTAGTAGAGACAGGGTTTCACCATGTTGGTCAGGCTGCTCTCGAACTCCTGACCTCAGGTGATCCAGCCACCTCGGCCTCCCGTAGTGCTGAGTTTACAGGTACGAGCCACTATGCCAGGCCCCTCTTCCTTTACACTTTTACTAGAGCATTTAGAAAACAGTTATAAGCACTGACTTCAATCAGTGTTGGGAGAATCATCCTGCGGAAAATAGAGATAACCTCAAATACAACTTATTTAAAGTATTAAAAATGTATACAGGAGCTAAAGCTTTAATTAACAAGCTTCATTCTAACTGTTCAACTTTCCTCTTAAATGTTACTTTATTAATTATTTAAATGTTTTCCTATTAGAGAGCATAATAGTTATTTTAGCCTATTTATAGATCTTAATATAAAGGTAAAATTTTCAATTATATTATCAAATATTCAAATTCCTACATAGACTTTGCAATTAGGCAAACAATTTGGAATTTCATTTCTTTACCTATAGTATCACTTGAATCAGTTATTGCTAAAGCATCTCCAGCAAATGCTGTCTACTTTTTTTTTTTTTTTTTGAGATGGAGTCTTGGAGTCTTGCTCTGTTGCTCAGGCTGGAGTGCAGTGGCGTGATCTTGGCTCACTGCAAGCTCCGTCTCCTGGGTTCACATCATTCTCCTGCCTCAGCCTCCCGAGCAGCTGGTACTACAGGTGCCGCCACCACACCAGGCTAAGTTTTTTTATATTTAGTGGAGACGGCGTTTCACCATGTTAGCCAGGATGGCCTCAATCTCCTGACCTCGTGATCCACCTGCCTCGGCCTCACAAAGTGCTGGGATTACAGGCGTGAGCCACTGTGCCCGGCCTGCTCTCTACTTTTAACTAAAATTATTCTTGATCCATTAAATCAGGCTTTTAAAAAAATGTCTTTATTGAAGATTAACCTAATGTAAATATTCCTAATATAACAAGACAAAAAAAAGCATTCATTTTTCAAGTTCCTAGAAACAGCTTATTTTATATTTGCATTCTTTTTTATGAAAACTATATGTAAAGCTCAACATTCTAAAACTAATCTATTGTTGAACTGCCTCTATGTTTTTTGTAATTTATTTTAAAAATAGATTAAATAACATTTAAAAATTTGCTGGTTTCTCAAGCTCCACAATTAAAGCTGTATTTTCTTTTCTGCTTTATTAAAATATAGTTAGTTTATTTTATGAAAAATGTGTTCTGATACATATACTTACATCATTTGTAGCCATCTTCCTAGATCTTGGAAGTGGAGACTTCCTGTGTATATGAATTGGCTCTGATACCATTGGTTTAAACAATATCACAGCTCGATCAACCTCATCTCTTTTAGAAGTATGTGGTTCATCATCATTATCAGTTTTAAAAGGTCTCCTGCCTTCATTCTGTGAGCAAAGAATATAAAACACTTCTATTCAGATTTAAGAAATATCTTCTGATGAACAGATTCAACTACCACTGGTAGAGGTACTTGAAATACATAAACAAGTTTGTTTACTCAGATGAATGAACATTAACTGAACTCTTCTAACAGCTGAGTATTATGCTGTGTACTATGAGGGAAAAGGCAGAGTCTCTGAGTTCAAAAATACATACATTCTATGGAGAAATTAAACAGTAAAATGGCAATTAAAAAAACCACATAAGACAAAGTGTTTAATTACATTTCATCAAGTGCAAGAATAAACAAACAATAATAATAAATGACAGAAAGAAATAATAGAGATGAGCTTTGTTATATAGGAGTCTCATCATCCTAAGCATGAACTAAACAGCATTTGTATTTATAAATTTTAGACTATTTAAATATATTCCAAATATTTCTAATAAATGTGATAACTGCATTAAAAGTAACTATCATTCAATGACTCATTGAGCATTTACTAAGTGTATACCGTGTGCCATGAATTGTACTAAAATATCCAACTGTAAGACAATGCAGGCCGGGAGCGGTGGCTCACGCCTGTAATCCCAGCACTTTGGGAGGCTGAGGTGGGCAGATCACGAGGTCAGGAGATCGAGACCATCCTGGCTAACACAGTGAAACCCCATTTCCACTAAAAATACAAAAAATTAGCCGGGCGTGCTGACGGGTGCCTGTAGTCCCAGCAACTCGGGAGGCTGAGGCAGGAGAATGGCGTGAACCCAGGAGGCGGAGCTTGCAGTGACCGGAGATCGTGCCACTGCACTCCAGCCTGGGAGACAGCCAGACTCTGTGTCAGAAAAAAAAAAAAAAAAGACAATGCATATATTAGGCCACAGTAATACAGTAAAACACATATTTCAAAGCAGTAAGAATGGACAAACTAAAACTAAATGCAACTACATTGCTGAATCTCCTAAACATAATATTGGCCAAAAGAAAATAAGCTGAGTACATAAAAACCCTCATCAAATTAAGGGTTACAGAGAATAAAAAGGTACTTTTTAAATCAAATAAGGGATATCTAAAACTTGAAGGGATCATTACAGTTAATAATAAAACACTCAAAGATAAGAATGTCCACTATCACTAAATCTATTCATCATTCATAGATGATGTTATGATCATATACATAAAAAATCCAAATGACTCTAAGGGTAAATTATTAGAATGAATAACAGTATATATTAAGTTATACATTTGCTACTTATAAAATTTTTATACAAAACTGAGTTAAAATTTAATATGACAACAAAAAATGAAATTTAAATAAATCATAAAAGAAATTTAAATTTATCATAAATAAATTTATGATAGCATAAAAAACTATAAAGGAACTAGGAATTAATCTGACAAAGATGGTATAAGACAATTATTTGGTGCAAAAGTAATTGTGGTTTTTGCTATTATGTTTAATGAAAAAAATCATGATTTTATCAAAAAATATATAGTTAAATAAATTCAGAAATATACCAAGTCCTTAGACTAGAAGACCCAATACTGAAAAAGTATCATTTTTTTTCCAAATTGATCTGCAGAGTAATGGTAATCTCAACCAAAATCTCAAAGAGTCTTTTCAGGATATTATAAAATGATTATAAAATTTATATGAAAATGCATGAAACATGAAATATTCAATATAATCTTTAAGAACAACAAGGCTGGAGGAATTCTGTACTCAATATCAATATTTATTATAAAGCTATAATAATTAAGACTGTGGTACTGGTAGAGAGAGAAACAGAGTAATCAAGTAAGACTAAAAGTTCAGAAACCAACCAATCAAAATACACGTACAATACATGTCTGCAGTATCATGTGTAGTACTATAGGCAGCAGAAAAAAGATGAACTCTTGAATCTATGATACTGGGGCTTAGTTATTCATAGAGCAAAGACAACAAAACTGGACTGCACATCACATGTACCATATCCAAAAAAGTCAATTTCAGTGAATTAAAGGTTTAAGGTTATCCATTCTAAACACGGCCTTAAAATTCAAATAATCTAAACAAAATATAAAATTCCTAAGTATTCCAATATGCATAAAAGTGTTGTCTATACAAATCACACTTTAAAAAATTTAAGCCATTTTCCTACTTAGTAGTTGAAATAAGAATTATTTATAGTACATTATAAAAATCTCTTACAGAAACCTCATGAAAATCTAGAACCACAGTAACTAAGCACTGAGAGTTCCACCTTCGTTACCTCTCTGGAAGCTGGTCTATATCCGTAGCCAGATGGTAAATTTTTGTCTTCTTCACAACCTTTGGCTCCTGGACTAAAGTGTAATTCAACATGAAAGCGTTCCTCTGAGGAAAGATCCTAAGAAATATGAAAGAACATTTTCAAAATGAGAAACTTTAAGCTCTTTATTTATGTCTGGTAAAACACAAATCAAGAGCTCTGTTTACCTTATTAGGATCCTCATAAAGCATGATAACAATCTGAGTCATGTAGTTGAGCTCATTGACAACATTTAAATAATCCATAGCTCTTTTCCACTGTTCATCCTTTGATTCCTGAACAAAAGATACATGTGGTAAGCATTTTCTCAAACTGTTACTTGAAAGTCACTTTACTGTCACTATGGTAGCTTGTTTAATCCTAGTGATACCACATAAAGTGAATACTTACTATATGCACAATTTTTAAAAATAATTCCACTACATTTAAAAATCTTACTAACTTATTTAAGCTTGTTTTGGTAAAATATGTCTAAACTCTCTACAAGTTTGAGTATCCCTAACTTGAAAATTCAAAATCCAAAATGCTCCAAAATTCAAAACTTTTTGAGCACTGACATGACACTTGAAGGAAATACTCATTGGAGAATTTTGGGTTTTCAAATTAGGCATGCTAAACCAGTGCAAATATTCCAAAATCCAAAAACAATTCTAAATTCCAAAAAACTTCTGGTCTCAAGCATTTCAGATAAGAGATATTCAACTTATATTAGAAGTTCTAGTAGTAACCTTTTTTTAACTGCTTATACAAAATGAAAAATAAAGAATTTCTTGAAACATGACAAACACTACTGAATTCTGAGGGTAAGAGACAGTTTTTAACTTTGTTCAGTTCCAAAGTACCTAGTATAGTATCATGTTTCATAACCACAGAATACTATCCTATAACAGGAATGCTATTTTTTCCCACCATCATATATAGTTCATGTATGCGATATAAGCCTATCAATAAATATCCCTATTACACTGAAGTGATATTCAAAAATCAGCAGAAGGAGGCATATGCAAATTCTATTGATCTTACCATCTCCTTCACCATTCCTCCATCTTCATTCTGAGAATCATTGGTCTTTAAACATGTAATCATAGAGCATCAGAACTGAAAAGGATCTTAGAGAACATGTACTACAAGCATTCAAAGTAGAAAATTATATCTGAAAAGGCAAAACTACTCAAAGTCTATAGTCAACAATTAACAGGATCTACTTAAATTATATGTACATCACAGATAAATTTCCTTTGCTGTATACTATGTAATTACATTACAAATATATAAAAGCACATTTCCTTTTTGTATACACTAAGAGTATACAATATTAAGAACTTTAGTACAGAATGCATCTTGTTTTAAAAGCAAATTATAAGATCACACATTGACTGTATGTTTTTTAAAATTCAGCATGTATTTTATTTCTATTTTAGACGTTACACATTCCATGTGTATGTGTGTGTGCACATGCATGTGTGCAAGTTTAGGAGGTAATATGTGAAAAGATGTATTTTTTTCAAAATTGATAAGGGAAAACATAAATTAGCATTACTGAGCTTCACTAAATGTAAAGTTAGCACAAATGATGAGTTTAAATACTGAAAATTTTCATTAGGTGAAGAGATAATTGATCTTGTGATTTTGTGATACTCCAGTATTAAGAGCACCATCTAATGTCTAACTCAGTGTTGCAGTTATAGATTTTGCTAGGTCTTCTCTAATAAATAGATAAAATTAAGCCATATTTAGTAGTAACTTCCAGAACATAATTAATATGTAAGAAGACACAAAAATGTTTTTTTAAATTAAGGCCCCATTACACATATTCCTGAAATCTTGTTTATAATCTTAGTTCCTTAACAAACTTTACAAATAATTCTACAAAAAGATTTTACCCAGTCCATTCTGAATAATTAAAAATTACAACTGGTAATACACGGAGTAAGATTTTAATTATATTACTTACAGATTCTTATAAGGATAATAAGAGTTGGGATAATGAAAACAAAACATTTTGGTATAGACTTCAATTTTCACCTTAGTAAATACATGTAATTATTTTTCCCCCTGGAAGCACTGATTTTTAAAATAATGAAGTTGTTCAGTTTTTGTTTCAGAAATGCAGCCTGAATTCAATATATGCCCAACAAACTCTAGATCCACAGCCACCACCCTAGTCTAAATGACATCTTTTTGGACCACTGTACTAATTTCCTAACTGGTTTTCTCATACCCACTTTCACCTATCTACTGTCCACACAACAACCAAAGTCACCCGCTTCCCTGCTTAAAACCTTTCAATGGCTTCCCAATCCACTTAGAATACAAGGCACTGGCTCTTCAACCACATCTGCTGTCATTTTATCCAATACTTACTGCTATTCTCCAACCACAGGCTTTCTATCAGTTCCTATATTATTCATGTTCTTTATACCCTCTATATATGTCAAAAAGGACCATGTAAGAGATGTATCTCTCCTCCTCACAAACAATTCCATCAACACTACTGTTTATACAAGCTTTTGCCTTGCTAATTAAGGGTCATTTTTTTTCCCCACTAATCCACATACTTATGCAAGGATGTCACTTTGCTATTCTTTAGTGGGACAAAGAAGAAACAAAAAACCAGAAGAAATAACATATGGGTTTGGAATTTTAATTGGAATAGAACTTTGAAACAGCCTTAGGATAACTATGATAATAATTACTCTCAAGGACCAGTAATAAGATTGATTAGGAAACAGATATATACCAAATTATCATTACATATTTCACTGCCCTTCTTTTAAAAGTACATAAGAAAACAAAATTGAATTTTCTTTTATAGATCACTTTCTATACAGACGTGCATATATTCATACGCACAGAAAAATAAAGAAACATTCTTATCTTTTGGCTAGTTTAGAGATGACTGAGTTAGATGAGATTCTGGACTTCAAGTAGTATTACCCTATCACAGCATGGCACTGAATGGAGTGGGTGGCACTGAGGGAGAAGTTAAGTGAGTTTTGTATGCAGGAAGAATATGAATTACTGTGGCAAATGGGTATCACCGTAGCAGATTTTGTATTTTCCAAAGATGGCTGACATACGCATTCAATTCTACATACTCTTCGTACAATATGACAGAGACACTCAGCCCATCTAGTGCTGTGGGTTGTTTCCTCTCCTTCTGAACCTGGATGAACCTCTGTGATTGCCTCAACCAAGAGAGCTCAGCAGAAGTGATGCTATGGTTTTAGAAGTTAGGTCATAAAAATGCCATGCACTTGCACCTTGCTCTCATAGGAAGCTCACTCCTGGAACTCAGGTGCAACATTTTGAGGAAGCAGGCCACATGAAGAGGCCAGATGTAGGTGTTCTGGTTGATAACCGCAGCTGAGGTCCCAGCAGACAGCCAACATGAAGCACCAAACATGAGAGAAAACCCTTGAGATTGAGACCCAGCCACTCTCTGACCACAACCTCATGAGACTCTAAGTGAAACTTCATAACTGATCCTAGTCAACATTCTAAACTGTATGAGATAAAAATGAAATGACTGCGGTTGTTTTAAGCCACTAAGTCTTGGTATGTCATTACATAATAGTAGATAACAGTAGATAGTACGTAATAGTAGGTAAGTGGCACAACGTCTAACCAAACACCAAGTCCCATCAATTCTGACCCCTAAATGACTCAAATTCATCAGGCTTCTCTTTACTGCCATCAGTCTATAAAATCACCTAAAATAATTTATATTATTGTTTGCTTGAATGTATCTTCTCTGAAGAGAACATCTTTATCCCTAACATCTAGCAAAATGCTTGGTATATAGTAGTCCCCTGAAAGATGACATTAAGTAGTAACACTTAAGGACGAAATACTAAAATTTCACAGTAAAAATAGCAGTCAGTGATTTAATTACAAAATTAAATATATTTGTTAGACTGATGTAACTTATTCTACTTACATTGCATAAGGCACCATAGCGAAGAATAGACAGCAAAGAATGTACATGACTTTCACTAGTAAAATATAATCTAGTACGAACATGACGTTCAGGAGAAAGAACACCTCTAGAATACCTAAAATTAAAAGCAGACAGTGTTCAAACATAACCACATAATCAAAAACTCGCTAAATATTGAAATTATTTTCCAAAATTAAATTTAATTTCACTAGAAGTAAAAGACCATAAAAATCTATTATTCTTCCAACCGCAATAGAGGATTTATGTTAGTACATATTCTTCTAACATGACACAAACTATAACTAACTAGGACCTCTGAGAGTAGTCAAAGAATAGACTTAATATTAGTCAAGTACACTGTAAATAGGTTATTTTATCTCTTTTAGTAGCAATGACAGAGATTATAGACCTAAAGATGATCACAGACATTAATGCTGCTAAATGGGGTACACATTGATGATCCCATGTGAACGATGACCTATATTCCCTCTTCCTCACTCACCTTAGTTTTCTCTAAATTGGAGCCAAAAATAACTTTGGTTGGAAGTTAATAGAAATATCTAGGTAATAGTATTTTCACAGTATGCCAATGACACACTTCTGACTTCATAGGATCATCAAAGTGTAATTTAAATTTGAAGTATGCAGAAATAGATGCCTAGAGATTTAAATAACCAGTACAGTTTCTTACACAGGATGAAGTTTATTTACAGTGTCATCATCTTGTGTCCTCTGAAGATCTGAGCGAATTTTTCTAACCAGAGGAGTACAGTAGCCTTTGGCAATCTCCAGTTTTTCAGCTTTAGTTATACCATATTCCTGAGCAAAAAATACTTGACATTAGAAAAAGGATATAATGACAAAGTACTCTAAAAAAATACACTCCTAAATTAGTCTAGTGAGAGACAAATATTTTATCAAGCCTTTTTTGAACGTTGGATAACTCCAAGTTTGCATTTTTTGCAACTGCAAATGTATGATTTTCAAACTATTAAGTATAATTGGAAGGATTTTGTGGTGGAACTGAACAAAAGCCAGTAATTTCTGAAGGAGGAGAATGAATGGGTGAATGTAATTTTTATGACTAGTATTCACTAAATCAGAGGTTTTAAATGTAAAAACAACCCTAAAAGAAAGGTGGATTAAGGACACAAACACTAAAGCACAATATGTAATAAATATATGAAAGAAATTAAACCTTGAGATTTCTGTCTTTCCAAATGTCAAAGATTTAAAAGACTAACACGTTCTTCAAAAGCCTTTGGCCAATATTTTTAAAGTTTTAACTGGTAGTGAGCAAAGATTCCATGAAATTATCAAATTTAATGACATAATCATTATGGGTTAACTGGATTTGTAAGGAATTAACACAATGTGAAGTGTCCAGAAAACATGGCAATTTGAAGAGTAATTGCAATGAAAATTATAGTTCAAAGCAGTAGAAGAGGAGAAAGGAAGAAGGCAGAAAAGTAGGGGTAGAATGAAAGAGAGGGAGAAAAGGGAAGAGGGAAGAAACACACATACCTTCTCTCTCCAAGTTCATTTTAGGATATCTCAACTTAAAGGCTATTTTCTGCTACCAGATACCTCCAGAAAGATTCACATGGAATAACATCAGTATAGACAATAGATCTCAAAACTGCCTAATAAAGAAAATGCTGACTGATTACAGATGAAAGACCTATGAAAACAGAACTTCCTGGGGGTGATTTACCTTAAACTAAAGCTAAGGTGGTTCAATAATCTTGCCAATGTAGGTGACTATATAGTGAATATGCAACTGTGTATTTACGTGTAAATGAAAGAAAAATGTTGGAATTACAAAATCATCAGGGAAGTACTTTTTTAAAAATTTGTTATTAGCAAGGTGTGAGGAAACGGATTTTCACACACTGCTGGTCTGGGTAAAAACTGATTAAAGATTTCTGGAGCTACAGAAATGGTCTTGAGTGAATGGAAAGACGTGTAAAGAGAGTGAAACAAATTTCAAAAGTCTAGATTTCCAAATACAAGTTGATTAAATAAATTATTCTTACATTCACACCACTCAGCCATCGGGAATAATAATGCATATTAGCTTTATTGGCATGGAAAGAAGTTCTTTATGCTAAATGAAGGAAAAAATTAGGTTGTAAAATAGTATGCTTTTTCTGATTCAGTTTTCATAAAGAATGTATTTTCTATATATATGCATTTATGGAAAAAATTATATGTAAATGAATTTAAGGAAAGAGGCCTTTAAAAATATTCCAAAACATTGATATGTTTTTCTTTTGTTGGTAATGTTGTAGTAATTTTTTTGCTCTATTTGTATTTTCTAGTTTTATTACAAAGATATATTACTTTTATAATCAAGAAATCTCTCTCTTCAAAACAGTGACATATTTTGCTCATCTGCCTCTATCAACTAGGACCAAATAATTTTTAGATATGCAAATTCTTATATGTAGTTACAATATCTGTGCCACAAATAGAACTGATTAAAATATCAGCTAAAGCGACTTGAAGGCTTTCTATAATGATTTCATTGAGAATGTCATTGAACTATCTTTGGGAAATGCTACTATAAAGAACTGTCTGCATTTCATAATCTACAGATAACCAAGGAAAACATCTTTAAACTTCAATTAATATGTGTCATCTCAATTAAGAGAATTTTAATATCAAATATGGTCTCTAAATGTTTTTATTTACCACCATACCATCAGAGTTATAAAGCATCATTTTTAAACCAGGGCCCCAATTTTCTGAGGATTAAGCCTGGTTAAAAAGTGAAAATTTGATTCTATTGTAGCATAAACATCTATCAAAACTAGTTTAACTGTTAAAATAACTAAAACAGACGCATCATGTAAGCCTAGATATGATTGGAATTACAGAATTCACATAGCATAGACGTAAAAATTAAACAATCAATGTAAGAGTAGAAACTGATTTTTTAAGGCATAGTATCATTTTGAAGTACACCAGAATATATGTATATACATTTCTCTTTCATAGTCATACCCTGTTAGTCTGCATTAAATTATTCCAAACAAGTTAAAACTTTGTATTATTTGACTGAGTCAAATCTTGAAGCTTGAAATATAATTTGCTTGAGAACTATGTACGCGAAATTTTATTTTTTTCCTACAAACCACATTTTCATTATAAATTACTGCAAATATGTTTATAATTGCTAGTTTTTTTTTGGTGATTGAAAATACCTGCCTTCTGTCCACAGTTTTTGTATTTACGAGGTCTAAAGTAACAAAGCAAGGTAATATTTATTGAACTGATTCAACGATCTGAAAATAAAAAGAACCCAAAGTTTCTGTTAACAATAAAGATTGTCATACGAAAAAGTTACGGAGATAAACCCAAAGTTGTCCTCTCCTCAATTTATAAAACAATGTCAGGACACCAGGGAAGTATATAAAAAGACCTTCTTGTTTTAAAAGTATGAATTTACCAAAAATAGAACTGATTTACGTAAACTTGGGCATAATTTTATCTGAAGAGTCAAACGATTTCAAAAATAACTTTTCCAAGAAAAATAATTTTAGAGTTGTCTTCAAATAAATTCTCAGACCGTCATGAAAATCTAACCTAATTGCAGCAAAGAGAATTACCGTAACAGACTGAGAACAGCTGAGCGAAGAATTTGTATCTAATGATAGATACAAATGATGACTCAACTACTTCGTAACATACTAATCTTTGGTGCTTCTTCTGGTATTTAAAAAAATTTATTATAACTATTTAAGTTACACAGACATGGTGAGAAATGTCTTCAACTATATAAACAATACACCTGAAATACATACACCATGTAAGGAGGAGAAATGATCATCTACAATACCATTAACACTTGAGTTTTCTTTTGGGCTCAACTCTTAGAGACTAATTTTTCATTCCCAGTAGTAAAATATTTAGTATATATAATGGAAACAGTAGAGGGGTGAGATTAAATAAGCAATGCAATGGCATAGACATGGTTATGCTAAACATTAGACAAAGCATTGTGTATCTATTTAGCCTCTGAGTAGGTGATAAATTTAGATATACTGAAAGCCCACCTTGAAAAGTGCTTATAGCCACCATAAATATCTTACAGTCTCGTATTCACAGGTAATTGTTAAAAAGCATACTTACAAAACTGAAACATTTTATTATGCAAAATAAAACTTGTCTTTTACAGAATAAAACTTACCTTTTTCATTTGGTAAATGAAAGAAATTGTGAGGGAATGAGTCCTGTTTCCTAAGTAAATGTTTCCTAAAGTAAGACCTAAAGACATATTCGTAAAGTCTGAGATATTTTCATCCTCTTTTAAAAATAATTTTTAAAATCACAGGTTCATACAATATACCTAAAATTGTCTACACTATATATCTGATCAAATAAATATATAGTTCTCTTTCATGTTGAAGAAACAAGCTAATTGCTAACATGTACACAAATACCTATAGGTAAGTTGTACAACTGTCTGAATTCTCAGTTTTTCAAAATCTATAGGTTTTCCTGTACTGTCTATGTATATTAGGAAAGGGACAGTTATTTTAACCATTGTTATACATGGGTATTCATAAGTTAGGCTTTTTGAACTTGTTTCACAATCTTTATCTTTTTCATATATTTAACATTTTCCTGCTGTCAAACTTTATGTAGTCCACAGTTGGAATATCTGATCTACTCCAACCTCCTATTTACAATATCCAAATAATCTTCTACTGAGTTGAAAAAAGGTCCAAAAATGGCATCTGGAACTTTATTCTTCTAACACATTCCTGATCTCAATATATTTTGTCACTTACCCCTTTATTATCAATCCAATTCTGTTTAATTGCATTTTAGTTATTTGAATTCTTATTACACCTTTATATTTATTCTCCTATAATGAAAAGACCCATGTCCGCCAAAAGAACAACTATGTATATCTTGACCTCTAAACATTATTTTCAAAACACTTTTGCATAAAAATATTTGCAAAAAATTTCATATAAGGCCGCAACTATCTTTATGTCTTACTCCCCAAATATTTCCATATATAGATGGCAGATGCAGAACAGATGTTCAATAAATACTTAATTTATTTATTTATTCCATATGGAATTATTATTTTCCATTCTTTAGCTTGTTCGCATATTATTACTAAGAGTATCAATTCTTAAATTAAAAAAAAAATTACTACATTCTTATGGCACTGAAAATACTCTGTATACTACTATGATGATAGAAACATGTCACAATAAATTTGCCCAAACCCATATGTACAACACCAAGAGTGAACCCTAATGGACTATGGACTCTGGGTGATGTGTCATTGTAGGTTCATCAGTTATAAAAAATGCACCATTCTTGTGGAGGATAATCATAATGTGGGGGAGGATGCGCTATGTATGGAGGCAGGGGGCATATGGGAAATCTTTGTACCTTCAGTTTGATTTTGCTATGAACATAAAACTGCTCTAATAAATATAGTCTACTAAAAAATGTCACTGTAATCAAACTATTAGAAAATCAAATAATGTAATCAATATAACCATAAAAAGCTTAAAAAATAAATTCATAATTACCTAATTTCCTGTTTAAAGTTACTGGTTTTCCAAGGACATGAAAACCAACTACATTTTTTTCCACCAACAGACATTTTAAAAGTATGTATTTATTTAATATTGTAAGAAAATTGATTCTTAAGAATGACTTACCTGAGGGATAACAATATCTGCTAATGCCTTTGAAAGCCTATATAATTCCATTGTGTTTTCTAATTTCAAGGAACCATTATGCTGGACATCATATTTTATACAGTCATATATGTCAGGGATTTTACTAATATCGTATCTTCCATTCTTTGTTTTAAAGTCTTTCTCTAACTTGGACCATCTACGTAGCATAAGCTCCAATGTTTCACTATGGTAAAGCTGAATATCTAAAACAACATAACATTTTTAGTTTACACAACTTAAAAATCTGATTTAGAATATATATTAATATGTTAATAATTAGAAACTTTTTAAAGTGTCAAAAATACAACGGTATGAAGTTAGGAAGTTACTATAGGCATAGACTACTAGCAACCATGTATTTTTTAGACTTGAAGGGTTAGGAACTAGGCTTATAAAAGACTTTTTCCATATATTATAGACTTTAATAATAATAAGAAGAAAAAGGGCAACAATTTTAACAAAGCTCTTTTAAGCTCATATATTTTTAATTTTCAATACTGTTACTCTTATTAGATTCACATAACTAAGTGAATAGGTAGACTATCTTTAGCAGAGGAACCTTAGACATTAAAAATAGTCCAACTGATCCATTTTCTGACAGGAAAAAACCCAAGATGCCAAAGTTGTCTAAGTTACTAACCAACTAAGCTTTGGGGCCAGAGCCTAGATCACTTTCCTATTGCTTGCTCCTTCTTATTACCCTGTCTACTCACTGCTTAACTATATGGCAATGCTGCATAATAAGATAATCAAATGATAATATTTTATCTTTCATGCTGTCATAGATAAAAACCACTATAACTTAGCCATTCTTTTTTGCTTGATATATATTAACTCATACTACACGTAGCTCTCAAGAAAGGCTTATTTCTTAAAATAAGATTGGTGCATCATATTTTAAAACGCTTAATTGAATAGTAACTTTTATTTGTTCTATGCTCTAAGAAAAACATATTTACCTGATGATTTGGGATCTTCCATTCGATGTCTGATTTGAGAAGTCAAACTCTGAATTAAGGAATAAACTTTATCACAGGTCTTCACAGGATTTTTAATTAAATGCATTGATTTGATAAGAGAAATGCTTCCAGATGGAGTAAGCTACAAATGAGTAAAGTATATATTTTATATGTGGTTATGCCTAATTGTCTAAGAAAACAATATACATATACAAAATTTTCCAGTAGCTGGAGAATAATTCCATAGCAGAAATTAAAATGACCACAAAATACAGTTGACCCTTGAACACCACAGGTTTGAACTGCAAAGGACCACATACATATATGCAGGGTTTTTCCCTAAAAGTTACACCAAAATGTACTGTTTCTCCTGCCTCCCCTTCCACCTCCTTCACTTCTTCCACCCTTAAGACAGCATGACTAACCCCTCCTCTTCCTCCTTCTTCTCAGCCTACTCAGTGTGAAAATAAAGATGAAGACCTCTAAGATGATGTACTTCCCCTTAAGGAATAGTAAATATATTTTCTCTTCCTTGTAATTTTCTTAATAACATTTTCTTTCCTCTAGCTCACTTTAGAATTTTCTTAACATTTTCTTTTCTCTAGTTCACTCTATTGTAGGACTAGAGTATGGAATACATATACAAAATATTGGGGAACTTCCAAAAAGTACGTGAAAAAAATTGAATTAAAAGATAAAAGTAAAAAACTTTATTTCTCAACACAAGGTCTGTCACGGTCAAGACACTTTTGTAAGCAATGATACCAGCCATTTAGTCTATTCCAAAAAAACTGAGGATCCTGGGAATTTATCCATGTCAATGCAGACTTTTTGCATTAACTGAAGAAAAATGAGTGCCCCTTAAATATTTTTTTTAAGATTAGAAAACAAACAGAAGTCAGAAGGAGCCATATCAGGACCACAAGGTAGATTCCTAACGATCTCCCACTGAAACTCTTGCAAAACTGCCCTTTTCTGAGAGGAATAAGCAGGATCATTGTCACGATGGAGGACTCTAGTGAAGATTTTGTGGGTGTTTTCTGCTAATGCTTTGGCTAACTCTCTCAAAACAATCTCATAATAAGCAGATGTTATTGCTTTTCAGCCCTCCAGAAAGTCAAGAAGCAAAATGTCTTGAGAGTCCCAAAAAACTACTGCCATGACCTCTGCTCTTGACCAGTCTGTTTCTGCTTTGGCTGGACCAATTCTACCTCTTGGTAGCCACTGCTTTGATTGCGTTTTGTCTTCAGGGTCATCCTGGTTAAAACCAGTTTCATCTTCTGTTACAATTCTTCAAAGAAATGCTTCGGGATCTTCATCCCACTTGTTTAAAATTTCCATTGAAAGCTCTGCTACTATCTATAGCTGATCTGAGCACAATGGTTCTGGTACTCTAAATTAAGCAGAAAGTTTGCGCAACTTTAATTTTTCAGTCAGAATTGTGTAAGTTTAATCAACTGAGATGTCTATGGTACTGGCTATTGTTTCTGCTGTTAATTATTGGTCTTCTTCAATTAGGGCATGAACAAGATTAATTTTTTCCTTGCAAAATTGATGTAGATGGTCTGCCGTTGAGGGCTTCATCTTCGACATCATCTTGTCCCATCTTAAAACGAGTTATCCATTTGTATACTGCTGATTTCTTTGGGAAACTGTTCCTATAAACTTTTTGTAAAGTATCAATGATTTCACCATTTTTTTTTGCTTAAGCTTTGCCATAAATTTGCTGTTTGTTCTTGTTTCAATTTTAGCAGAATTCATGTTGCCCTCACAGGGGCTCTCTTCAAACTGATGTCTTACTCTTGTTAGTGCCTCAAACTAAATCCTGTTCAGACATTTTATAACAAGTTAATACGAGTTTATTTTACTATAAAAAAAAGTTGAAATTTGTGTATAGTTTTTGCATAATGAGCATTTTGCATTAACTTTTGAAGACCCTTCATATATGTTCATTGTTCACATTATTGCTAAGGCTTCTAGTCAGAGGTAGGCTTAACTTGGTAGTTAAGTTTTTGCAGAGTCAAAAGTTAAAGACTAATTTTTTTTACTGTGAGGGGAACTGGCACTTCTAACCCCAATATTGTCTAAGGGTGAACTGTATAGTAGTAAGATCAGGGAGGAAGTAAAAGACTCAATTCATGTTAAAAAATATTAAACCTTAGCTGTCATTATCATTAAAGAAAATTTAGCAGAAATACTCTAACTTAATGGAATTTGATGACAATCTGCTGACTCTCTTAACATGTGTGAATACAGTTCTGACCACTTGATATATATTTACATGTAATAACTCTAGGCATCTATTATTTTCTTTTCCCAGATGAGTTACTTACCTCAGGTTAAGCTACTTGCTTAAGATCAAACCACTAGGATGTGAAGGAGTAGGACTCAAATACAGGTAGTCTGGCTACAGACTGGTGCTCTCAACCACTATCCTATTATGCCTTTATAATGATTTCTTTTTTTTGAATTTAATAAAAGCCATCAATAAAAATATAGTTTCACATTCCAGTTTTGACATTTAGCTTGGCAAGTTATTTAATCACATTAAGTAAGTTTCTACAAATATAAAAAAATATAAAGTGCAATTCTACTTCTGGTTATAATTAACTAGGTAGCTTGGACCAATATATCCACTGAAGGTAAGTAAAAATTCTGGGCAAAGAATTTCTATACTTATGTTTTAAGGAATCTGTGAAATAACAAGATGGTAAAGAATTATGAAAGCAAACTCAAAGGTCAGTGATCCAGAAAGTGAGTCTAGAATTTAAGGCTGTTTCTCCGTTGGAAATATTTATATTTATGAATATAATAAATGACTCCAGTCAAAAGAGTGCATAAAGGAAAATTTACGGCCTAGGGTGCATATTTTGTAAAAGACAGACCATTAATAACTTAGTAAGTATTCACCTGGTGTTATTAATTTTGAGAATCAGAAAAATAGCAAAATAAAACTAGAGAGGTAGAAGAAATAAAATATTAAGCAATGAGAATTAATCAAATGGAAAATAAGCATATAATTCAGAGACCTAACAAATCTAAACAAAGGTTCTTTGAAAGGACTAATAAACTAATCAACCATGGTGAAACTGATCAAGAAAAAAAGGAAAAAAGTATAATGTTATGAAAGAAAAAGGGACATCTCTACAGATCCTACACAAATTACAAAGAAATTAAAGAGGAAATTATGAACAAACTTCTAAAAAATGCAATTTAATACTGACATAAACATAACTGAGAAGTACTAAACTATTCTGAAATCCATAATTAGAAACTTTCCCACAAAGAAAACACCCACAGGAATTACCATACTATTTACCAGTAAAGTTTACCAAAAATTTAATGAAATATTTGTACATATACTATTCCCCTCAAATAGGAAGTATTTCCTAACTAATTTTACAAGACTAGCATAATCCTGACATTGAAATAAAAGACACGACAAAAATAAAAAAGTAAAGGCCAATCTGACTCATGAACATATATCAAAATTCCTAACCAAAAATATCAGCAAACTAAAATCAGTGATATGAATGAAAAAGATCATACATGGAATTCCAAGTTGAGGATATTCTAGAACTAAAGTTAGTTTCACATTCAAAAAACTGTATGATGTAATAGATGAAAGAAAATATGACAAAGTTCAGTAAGTTTTCATAATCTATTAGCCAAATAGAAACAATGAAATCTCCTTATTTTGAAGAAGGGCAGCTATATACAATATCTACAGAAAACTTTATATTTAATGTCCAGTGTTACTAGAAATGCTACTTTTACTTAATATGGTTTTGAGGGTCCTAGCTATGGAAAGCAAGAAAAATAATTTTTAAAAAACAAAGATTAGAAAAGCAAAAAACATATGGATGTGCTGCTAAAGAATCAAAGAAATCTAGATAAATTAGAACTAATGAGTTCAACAAGGTTGATGCCTATAATCTCAATATTTTAAAACTAATTATATTTCTATACACCAACAACAGAGAATAAAACTTTTAAAGAGGGGCCATTTATAATTGCATAATATCAATCACCTCAGCCTAAATCTAACGAAGATGCACAAGAACCCTGTGAAGTAAATTATAAAACATTATTGAAAGATATTAAAGAATATCTAAATAAATGAGCTACACATTCACAGATTAAAAGACTAGAGAAAAAAATGTAAATTTGCACAAACTACAGATATAATGTAACCTAAATAAAAAATCCCAACAGTATTTTTGACCAGCTTGTTTTAAAATTTACATGAAAATGCAAAAAAAAAAAAAAAAAAAAGGCCAAGAAACACTTGAAGAAGGATCCATTTGCATGCTGGGAGATATTAATCATTGGCACAAGGATCAACAAACAGAATACAGGGTCTAGAAACCGATTACACATATATAATAAAGACGGTGCTTCTGAGTAGTGGGAAAGAACAGTCTTTTCAGTATGTTCTGCTGGGATACCCAGATATACATATAGTTAGGGGAAATATCAACCTTGATATTCTTAGTTGATAGCACACATAAAAGTCAATTTTATCTGGATTGCTGATAAATGTGAAGAGCAAAACAGTAAATTTATAGAATGAATATATATATATATCCCTTATGGCCTCTAGTCAGAAAAAGATATCCTGACAATGTATTAAAATGCATTGACCATAAGGGGAAAACAATGAACTTGGAAATCATGAAAAACTAGAACTTCTGCTTATCAAAAGATATTACTGGCTGGGCTTGGTGGCTCATGCCTGTAATTCCAAAGCCTTGGGATGTCAAGGCAGGAGGATCACTTGAGGCCAAGAGTTCGAGACTAGCCTTGGCAATACAGTGAGACCCAATCTCTACAAAAATTTAAAAAGTTAGCTGAGCATGGTGGCATGCACCTGTAATCTCAGCTACTCAGGACGCTGAAGCAGGAGGATCGCCTGCGCCCAGGGGTTTTAGGCCACAGTGAGCTATGATCATACCACTGCACTCCAGCCTGGGTCACGAAGCAAGACCCTTTCTCTAAAACAAAAAACAAAAAAAAAAAAAAGAAAGAAAAGAAAAGAATCATGACAACATGAAGGCTCAGAGTAGGTGGTGTTATCTACATATAACAAAGAGCTCATATCCAGAATAAAGAACTTCTGCCATTCAAGAAGAAAAACATAGACAATTCATAGAAAAAAGACAAGAGACTTGTCCTCATTCAAGAGGATATTTAAATGGTCAACAGACACTGAAGTCACAATAAAGTGAATTCTAGGTATATCCACCAGAATGGCCAAAATGGAATCATCTGAGAATCCCAAGAATGGAGAATATGTGGAGCGATGACAACTATCATGGACCTCTGGTGGGACTGTAAATTAGCTCAATGGCACTAGAAAACAGTTTGACATCACCTACTAACATTGTAAATAAGCATACCATGGTCACAATAATTCCACTCCTACAATATACCCTAGAGAAATGTATGCTCATTGCACAGGTGGCATACAAGGGTATTCATGGCAACTTTAATCCTAACAGTCCAAAACTCTAACAATAATATAAAGCATATATAAATTGTAATACGTTCATAAAATAGTACATGGGTCAACAAACTATAGCCTGCAGGTCAAATGTGGCCTGTCACACAGGCCATGGGCTAAGAATGGTTTTTACATGCTTAAAAGCAGTTAAAAAAAAAAAAAAAAGCAACACAGACCATATTTGGACGGCAAAGTCTAATTTTTTTTAATAAAATATTTACTATCTGGTATCTTACAGAAAAGTTCTGCCAACCCTGAAATGTAATACAACAAACACAGCAATGATTATTAACTAACTATGACCATTACTTACTATGGTTGAATTTCACAAATAAAATATTAAATAAAAGAAGTCAAATACAAAATAGAACATGTTCTATTATATGAACCTTAAAAAATAGCCAAAGTAAATTAATATTGTAGAGCCACTATAGAAAACAGTATGAACACTGCTCAAAAAACTGAAGACAGAATTACCATATGATCCAACAATCCCAATGCTAGGTATATAACTAAAGGAAATGGAATCATATGTCAAGGAGATATTTGCATTCCTATGTTTATTGTAGTACTGTTCACAATAGATAAGATCTGGAATCAACCTGTCCAATAACAGATGAACGAATAAAGGAAGTGTAGTATATATACACAATGAAATATCATCATCTAGCCTTAAAAAGAAGGAAATCCTATCATTAGCAACAACATGGATGAACCTAGAAGACATTATGTTAAGTGAAATAAGCCAGGCACAGAATGACAAATATGTGTAATCTCACTTATATGTAGAATCTAAAAAAGTTAAACTCAGAAGCAGAGTAAAATGATGGCTACCAGAGGCTGGAAAAGGAAGGGGTTGGGAAGATGTTGGTCAAGCGATACACAAGTTCAGTTAGATAAAAGGAATAAGTTCAGGAGCTCTATTGTACAACATTGTGATTATAGTAATAGCAATGTATTTTATCCTTGAAAATTGCTGAGAGTAGATTTCAAATGTTCTCGTCACAAAAAAATAAGGATGTGAGGTAATACATAAATTAGCTCGAGTTAGCCATTTCACAATGCATATATACTTTAAAACATGTTGTTATAAACATATATAATTTTAATTTGTCAATTAAAATCAATAGATTTAAAGTTAGAAAAAAGCCAAAAATGAGACTACACTGGTTAGAGACTATACTCATTATCCAAGTAAGTATTCTGGATATGAAAAGAATATAAAAAGTCAGGACAGTAGTTTTTTTGAGGAGGTAGGGAATGGGTTGCGATTGGAAAGGGGCATACAGAAGCCAAAGTTGTTCCAATGTTCTGTTTCTTTACTTGGAGGATGATAACATGTGTATTTGCTTTATAATACAATAAGCTCTACATTTATGTTTTATGCAGTTATCACTTTTCTGTGTGTGTGTGTAATATTTCACAATATAAAAGAGTTTGCTAAGACCCACCTTTTCATAATCTTCAGCAGTAAAATCTCTGTCTTTCTGAAGTATTTCATGAAGCCTTGCCTTCACACGTTGCTGACAACTGCTCAAAGAGTCACTATCACTATCCAAAAGACCGTTCATATTTGCACTTTTCACCATTTGAACAAGAATGGGCGTAAGCTCTCCTTCCAAAGCTAAAAGCCCCTAAGCATATTAAATGAAGAAAACACGAATTTAAAAAATTAATATGTAAAATAATATTTGTTACATATTGATTTTCATAAGGTATAAAGTAAGTTTACAGTAAATAAACTTTATTAATATGACAATTGATTATTGTCATTTTAGGGTTTTACTTGAAAGTTCCAAATACAGAATTTTTAAATATTCCTTAGTTAAATTTTTTTTTTTTTTTTTTTTGAGACAAGGGTCTCACACTGTTGCCTGGGGTAGAGTGCAGTGGCGTGATTTTGGCTCATTGTAGCCTTGACCTCCTGGGCTCAGGTGGTCCCTCCCACCTCAGCCTCCTGAGCTGCTGGGACTACAGGTGTGAACCACTACATCTGACTCATTTTTTTTTCTTCAATTTTTTTGTAGAGACAGGGTTTCGTCACGTTGCCCAGGCTGGTCTCAAACTCCTGGGCTCGAGTGATCTGACCACCTCAGCTTCCCAAAGTGCTAGGATTACAGGTGTAAGCCACTGCGCACAGCCAAAAATGTTTTAAGATGCAGTATTAGATTAAAAACTCTAGTAATTCTAAACAAAAAATTATTTGTACCTTTGCAAAAGCAGCTGCAGTCATCTGGACTCGTCCTTCATCAGAGGCATATATTTTGAGGTCATGTCTGTAGGTGCTATGTAATCTAAGTAAACCACAACCAGGAAATCCTGCATAATCTCCTGAAAATAAATCCTCAAATCACTTCAGCTATATTTTCATTTCATTGTATTTCTATAAATATTTAATAACATCAAAAATGAAGATTTCAAAATACAATTTATGAAATTAGTCAAATTAAAGAAAACTCTAAGATTTACCTTGACCTCCAGGATACATACACCTGAAAGCTCTTCCAAGTTCTTCAGCCTGGACCCTGCCTGCAGGAGTTAATTCACCTCCCCATTTTAGAACCAGAAGTAAAGATGGTTCTTCTCTTCGGCTGTCTATGACACATATGAATGAATAAAACAAATGTTAAGTTTTTTTTTAAACAGACTTAAGATTAATTTTTTGTCTGTGCTCTCTTCTGTGGTGAAATATGGCCCATATGTAGGATATTTTCTTCCTTAAATGTTGTTGCATGTATGTCCCTTAATGCTGTTTGTAGGCAGTGCTTCGGTAAGGAATACTCCCTTGCTATTCCTGTTTAAATCTTACTGAAATTTGAAAATCTCTCTCATACTTTAGAAAAATGGCTCCCAATTTTCTTCAGGGATGTAACGTTTCTTCCTTGCCTGTTTTCATAGTAATTTCTTCAGTGTACTTAATTTAGTTGTGCTATGTCTGCTGGATTGACAGCTCCTTGATGCCAGAATCCAGGTTTTATGTGCCTTGCTATCAAGCACCCTTTCCAGTGCTGTCCCATAAAAGAAAATACATTAGTTGAAGTGAAGAAGATATATATTTTTTCGTTGTTGTTTTTTGTTTTTTGAGACAGAGTCTCGCTTGGTCGCCCAGGCTGGAGTGCAGTGGCAAGATCTCGGCTCACCGCAACCTCTGCCTCCCAGGTTTGAGCAATTCTCCTGCCTCACCTTCCTGAGTAACTGGGACTATAGGCGCCTGGCTAATTTTTGTCTTTTTAGTAGAGACGGGGTTTTCAGCATGTTGGCCAGGCTGGTCTCGACCTCAAGTGATCCACCCACCTCGGCCTCCTAAAGTGCTGGGATTAAGGCGTGAGCCACTGCGCCCGGCCAGATACACGTTTTTAAGATTGGAAATCGGTGATTTGCATCATTTTTAGGAAGATGTGAGATGACAGAGCCTAACATTTATTCTAATTTAAATTTTATGCAATCTAATAAATTTCATACAATCTAATAAATTTTATGCTAACAAAAGGTAATCAAGAGCAGCTTTTTAAATTTGAACTTGTGGAATCTCTGCATGTTACAAATCAAAGTATTTTCTTGGACAAAGAAAATACTATAAGTTAATGAGTTTCTGTACTTAATTTTGACCTACTCCTTTTCATGATATTAAGATCTGTGTTGGGTTCTGAAAAAAAGTAATTCAAGAATAAGCATTATAAGCACTAAAAGAACTTAATAATGATTCTTTAAAAGGTGAGAGGAAATCACCCCTTCACCTGCAGCTAGTTAGCAGTTCTGTGAGCTTTGTCATATAGATCAATATTAATTTACGGAAGGAAAGTTAGTTACCTAACTTTTTAAATTATTTGTTTACAGAATGTTTTTGATGATAAATACTAAGATATAGAAAATTAACCTGTATTACTATTAACCACAAAATGTGATAAGAGCAATATATCAAATGTTAAAATATATATATATATCAAGATTATTATAAATTTGTGTCTGCATTTAAGATAATCATTACTTTAATTTTTGCTATTATAAGTAATACCACTATGAATATCCCTATAGATCAATCTTTACCTGAACATCTGATTACTTCTTTGGGTTAGATTCTGATAAGCAGAATTCAGGTCAAAGCATAAGAACATCTTTTGAAGTTTTTGATATATTGCCAAATTACATTTCAGAAAACTGTGCCAATTTATACTTCTACTATAGACTGAAATCCTGTCTCAACGAATTCTCATCAGCACATTTTATTACCAGTTTAAAACAGAAATGAAGAAAGTACTTTGCCAATATGATAGGCAAGACAGATTCTTATTACTATCATTATTATTTTATTGGTCATCTGCATTTCTCTATGAAATGACTTCCTCAATCCCTACCCTTTTCTTTTGTAAGGTAAATGTATTTATAAATGTGGATACTAACTGCTCTTAGGAGACCAAACTTGTTTAAATACTTACTCTGGTTTACTGGGTGGAAGAAAATATCCATTTATTTTAAAAACAGGTTAATTGTATATTTTTTCAAAGTCTTTTTGTACTTCTTGGGCTTTCTTCTTAGATACTCTGCCCTCTGCTATCAAAAGGTGATGTAAGGGGCCCATTAAATAACAGTTATAAATAAATACGTTTTCTGAAACAATCTCACAGTTAAAAGGAAGTCTTACGCAGTTTTCAAAATAATAAAATCTATCCTTTATTTAAAGAATAGGTGATATAAAAATGTATCCTTTATTTAAAGGAAGCACAGCTAAGATAATTCCACTTTATTTTTCCTCACCATGCCAGTCCTAAACTACGAAGCAAAAGATGGTCCAAAAGTAATCAACAGTGAATAACAAGTTACTATATATAAATAAAACTACTGTATAAGCATTAAGAATGACATACCCTCCTCTTCACTAGATGTTTTAGGACAACCATGAGGGAGATAGGTCAACTGAACCTTACGATTTATTCCAGAAAAATGACCATACCTGAAAAATAAAATGATAAGCAGAATAGACAATGTAGGGAAAAACTAAATCTCACATATTCATGCTCCCTTTTATCTGTAATCGCCTGTTTAATTCTTCAAAATATTCTAGCCAAAAAAAAAAAAAAAAATTGCACCATATATAATCATTCTAACCACATTAAAAACAAAAATGTTTTTCTAAAAATTACAGGCATGGGTGCCATGGCTCAAGCCTGTAATCCCAGCACTTTGGGAGGCCGAGGTGAGCGGATCACTTGAGGTCAGGAGTTCAATACCAGCCCGGCCAACATGGTGAAACTGTCTCCACTAACAATACAAAACTTAGCCAGGCATGGTGGCGTGCACCTGTGGTCCCAGATACTTGGGAGGCTGAGGCACGAGAATCGCTTGAACCTGGGAGGGGGAGGTTGCAGTGAGCTGAGATCATACCACTGACTCCAGCCTGGGTGACAGAATAAGACCCTGTCTCAAAAAAAAAAAAAAAAAAAAGACAACTCTGAAGAGATAAAGTACAGAAATATGTAAAAACACAGATGTATGTGTTTTAAGAAATAAAGGAAATAAGATTATAAGAGGTTAAAAATGTAGAGCTATAACAGGAATATTGATGGGTATCCATTTTACTTGATTAAGGCAAAGCTCAAATTTTTTATATTTAAACTGCAATGAATCTATGGTCAAGTTAGCAATGTGGCCTTGATTCTAAGCAGTATTTCACAGAAGACACAAATCTGATGTCCTTGTTTAATCTTCTCACCTAAATTAAAACCAGAGCTAAAACCTTCAATACAACAATCTATTTTTTTCACATTAGATTTTCCTTCACGTTTCAACTATAGTAACAAAGAGTAAAAAGATCAGACTGTGAAAGTAATTAAAATGGAAAATCACATACATAAAAAAGAAGAGCTATATGTAGTATCGTGATTAAGGGTTTCAAAAAGATACTCACATCTCTAATACAGTCTTAAGTTGTTCAAGTTTTGGCTTGTTTTCTTCAATTTCAGAATCATTATTTTGTCCCAGCTCCATAAGAAGCTGTCGTGCAATATCTAGCACTTCCTATAAAATAAATTAACAGAAAATTGAATTTTTATGTAATTTTACCATTAAAAAATTTAAAACTAAACAAGAAAGCAAATACACTTGCCTGTAACTGTTTTGGTTTTTTGAGTTTTAATTTCCCTGATTTATATCCATCACATTTTTCAAAAAGATCAAAAAATCTTATAAAAAAAGAACACTGTTAGTCACTTGCAATAATTAACATTACCAATATATGTTTAAACTAACAAATAATAAATGATAAGCTATGGGACTAGAACTTGGGATCTAAGGATTTCAAGTACTGTGTTTGCTCTTTCACTATACATGTTGCTGCTCAACTTTGACTGATAAAACTTAGTACTTTCCTAAATGATACCAAACTAGTAATCACCATACTACTTTTCAAAGTTTTTTCACGGAAACCAAACATACAACTATAATTCATAATATTATATATTTTCTGAAGTCATTGCATACACATTGAAAATTACTTGTGTCAACACATACTTAATGGTTCAGGGTTTTCAAATTTTATCATCTCCAAATCAAACACTGGATAGAAGTAACAGAAACTTTCATTCTACGAATTTTCTTCTAAAAGGCTGAGGGATTATTCACTCTCAGAATGCAATACAAGAGAGTGATAAGCAAAGATTAAATAGAACACTTTTATGACAATAAATGAAAGCCAGGGCAGACTGATGATATTTATGAATATTGCCACAATAATTTTAGATGCTAATGAACATATTTTAAATGGATTTTGTATGCATCCACGGGTTTAAATATAAATGGCCAAGAGAGGGTAGATAAAAGTTTTTCTATATGATGTATTAATCAAAAGAGTTGATCACTTATCAGAAATCTTAAAATTATATCATGCATGTTAAATTATTCATCTTAAAACATACTTTTGATGCCTCACTTCCATTTTCATTTTTTGTTTTGGTGTTCGATCCCCATGACGTATAACAGCTATGACACATCTAAGTTCCATCCTAAAATGAAAAAATATATATGTTCTTAATTCTCTAAAAAAGATTTGTGTTGTATAATTCAGATTAATATGAACATTTAATCATTTATTTAGAGCCATCTTTTACCATTTCAAGATCTTTCCCACGAAGAATAATACTTACAACTATCTAGTTTTAACTTTATGAAATCAAATTCAAAATGAACTTAAGAAGCTGGGGGAGGGGGGTGATATTAAGCTATATAATAGAATATAACCTTTTCTTCTCTAGAAATGGCTACCTTAACTCTGGGATAAAAGTAGACGGACTACAATTTCTGAGCTTTATTAAATACCTGCTCTGTAGCATTAGATCATTACAGACTGAGACTTCATTAAATCAAAATAAAACTTTACATGATGGTTGCTATATGTATATATTTGCTAAGTTTTGCCCATGTAAGGAGAACAAGTATTTAAAACTCAAATTACTGGAAGATAAAATCATCTTAGAAGCATGCTAGAATTAAGAGGTATAATCTAGTGTTTGCTGAAGTGTGAACTGCAGAACATAACCCTGCAGGATATCAGCTGAGTTACCTGAAAAAATTTTATTTAACACTTTTGTGTTAAATCACTATGAAAAATGCTGATTAAAAATAAAATTTGTTCCCCCTATCATCAGTATATCTCAGGATATTTAACATGTTAATATAAATATCTAAGTTGTGGGAAAAAAAGCATTCAGTCAACTGACATGAATTTAAAGGAATAATTTTCAGTAATAGAATGTTATGAAACATTTTCGCAATACTGGTATAATTATGCAAGATATGACTTGAGAGAGCAAAAGTTGTAAGACCACTGTGAACCTTTAAGTAACATACCTATTGGTACCTTTTTAATTTTTATGGCTTGATTAAACAATTCTATAATTATCCAGGCATGTTTCAGTAGTTTACTTGTAACAATTAGTGGACCCTTATAAATACGTATAATCTACTACTTTATCTTTAAGCTGAATCATATGAAATCATACACAGTAAAGTGTCTAATCATCATTCGGAAATTTAATTTTTATCCTAATAGCACAGATGACAAGGGGAACTCAATTTCTAAATGAAAACAATTCAGACTTACATAGTTCCAGATGTAGTTGGTACAATTGGGATATCTTCAGCTTCTAAGGGTATTGACCACGGAATATGAAATTGTGGAGCCAGTTCTCGCATTACAATATTTCTTCAAGACAAAAAAGGAAATACTTAAAATTAGTCCATTTTAAGACAAAACTGGGTACTTAATGATAATGAGAGAGAATCGTAAGACTTAAAATATCTAGTGATTACATCACATACAAAATAACCCACAGAATCAAATTCTGATCAAGAAAAAATAAAAATCAGCAGTTCTAAATTGATGTATTAGACACATCAATGGGATTTCACAAATTTGAGATTATTTGCTTTAGTTTTAAAATATCAATCAGCATTGGATTCAAAGAAATCACTACAATTACATCATATCTAATTACATACATTCTGAAATTCAAGAATGTCTCTTCTGTGTGGCTACTGATAAGTTCTTATCAGTTTATTGAACACCTAAAATGCTACTATAAATATTGTGTTCATCTTAACAAATCACTACTATACCAATAAGGTTAAAAATGGAAAAATGTTTACTTTTTGGTTTTGTTTAAATTTAGCATTTATTTATGCTAAAATTTAGTAAACTCTCCCTAACATCACTTTAAGGGTAAGTTTGTAAATCTTTGAAACATACTATGGGTTAAATGTTCTTAATCTGAAAATCTGAAATCCAAAACACTTCTGGTCCCAAGCATTGTGGATAAGGGATACTTAACCAGTAAAAAAGCTGGCTCCAATTATTGAGCATTTTTTAATGTAAGTTTCCTATGGATTTGTCATATATACCTGGAAATGTCTTAAAAATAGTTATTGCTTTGCTAGTCTTCTGAATCAAAGTATAAAGAAAACAGGTTGAAGAATATAAAAACAGCATTTCTACCTACAATATTTTTTTTACATTCACTTGACAATCTTATGAAAATATCATCAAGTAACATATGCTTGTAGAACGAATTGTCATGCAAAAGAGTCATGAATTCTAAATATTTCTATTTTACTCTGTTTATTTATTTCATGAATGTTAATTTTGTCCATTAAGTGGAAGAAAACCTTTTCCACTGTAGTTACATGGCAAAAATTAGAGGAATAATGTATTCTAACAAATAAACTTTTGACTAATAATCAGCATGTTATAGTATTTGTAAACGTATGAAGTTAAAGGTTTTCATCTATACTGATCATAAATTAATCTGTCTTTGATAAGTCAAAGTATAATTCAGGATCTGGCATAGTCTTCGGGGGTATCATTTTATGAACACTGATCTTTACTCTAGAAGGCTTAAAAAAACCTGACCATTTAATGTTAACAGTTATTTGGTTTCTGAAAAACTAGTATATGAAGGTAAAAAGAAAATTTAAAAAATTCTTACCCAAGTATTTTTGCACAGTCATCATAATACTTCATGGAATTTTTCACAAAACTGAAGCCATTGACATCACAGACATAGGACTGTCCATTGGCCCGTAACAAATCAAAGCCACAAACTGTTTGCTATTTAAAATAAGTTATAAACTTTAAGGTTTAATTTAAATTATTAAGATTCACAGTTTTCTAGTCCTATCAGAACATATCAAATTTTATAAATGCTTAAAAGTATATTACTATATATTGGTTTACTTCACAATAAGAAATGAAAGAAATTATTTATTTGTAACTTGAGTACTCCGAAAATACATTATAGAGGCTATATGATTATTTAAGTCTTTTATCATAAAGTAGATATAGAACAATAATGCATAAGCGGCTAGAGAGGCCCCAAAATAATATATTCTATCACAAAGTTCTTCAATTAACATCTAATTTAAAAACAAAAGCAAAATTGTTAAAGGATCTGAAAAAAACAAAAAACAAAAAACAAAAAACTTGGCACTAGCAGAAATTACATCATGTTAATCAAAAAAAAAAAAGAGGGAGGGCGGATATGGAGAACAGTTTTGAGGACATATTCCAGAGGAAATTCTGTGATCTGTTTTGTTTGGTTTTGAGAGGTAGTGTCACTCTGTCACCCAGGCTGGAGTGCAGTGGCACAATCTTGGCTCACTGCAACCTCCACTTCCCAGGTTCAAGGAATTCTTGTGCCTCAGCCACCCGAGTAGCTAGGACTACAGGCGTGTGCCACCACACCAGGCTAATTTTTGTATTTTTTAGTAGGGACAGGGTTTTGCTATGTTAGCCAGGTGAGTCTGGGGTTCCTGGCCTCAAGTAATCCACCTACTTCAGCAACCCCAAAGTGCTGGGATTACGGGTGTGAGGCACCACACCCAGTCAAAATCCTGTGATCTTTTAAACCCCCAATACCACATATTCGTGAACACCTGTAATAAACTTACTTTATTTGGGAGAAGAAAATGGCCAAAAGGCATGAATTTGCCACTCAGACTCTAAGAACTTTCTGATCTAACATTTGATGTTCAGTCATCAGGTATTAGTAGAATGTGATTTTTTTGTCACAGCTTTCAGAATCCTGGCATAATAAAAGGATTTCTATAAAGCTATTAAAACTTATTTACAGGCTAACATTCCTTCCATGAAAGACACTTCAAATTATTAAGGCACAAAGTAATTCTTTATTGTTTAATAGCCAGTAACATATACTAGCCTTTAAGTTATAGATCCAAGGCAAGATTTCAAAAAGGTAAAATTTTTATCCTTCATTAAATGAAGGTTGTACTATTTCTATTTAAACCTTTACTATATAGTAGTTAGGAAGAAACCTAATAATATAGATTGAGAGAATTAGTCAAATGTCAAAAGTCAAAAAGTTTTTTTTAAGAAATGTTTTTGGCTGGGTGCAGTGGCTCACACCTGTAATTCCAGCACTTTGGAAAGCCGAGGTGGGCGGATCACGAGGTCAGGAGTTTGAGATTAGCCTGGCCAACATGGCGAAACCCCCTCTCTACTGAAAATACAAAAATTAGCCGGGTGTGGTGGTGGGTGCCTGTAATCCCAGCTACTCTGGAGGCTGAAGCAGGAGAATAGTTTGAACCCGGTCGTGCCACTGCACTCCAGCCGGGGCGACAGCATGACTCTTGTCTCAAAAAAAAAACAAAAACAAAAACAAAAAACAGAAAGATATGTTTTTATATTGTTTTCATGAACATCTTTTATCATATATTAGGCCAAAGAATCAATCGCCAGGGCTAGACCACTGAGAACTGTTTTCATTTAACAAAAAAACTTACCAGTTATATGAAAGTAACACTTAAAGCCAGTTTCAAAAAGTACACTAGACAATAACCCTAAAACACTGATTAGTTGAGTCATTTCTGTAATTTTAATTTCTGAATAAACTGACCAGGTTTTCTTTTATATAATGCAAAAGAATATACTGGCACTACAAGAATCCCTTGAAAAATACATGAACCATTCAGATGTATTAATTACTTTCTCAGTTTACTTCTCCAATTATAAGCACCAATAATGTCTTAGTCAAAAAAGAAAATTAGAATTTACCTTTATAAGGATCTATAGATTTGTATAACATCTTACCTTAAAAGCAAGGCAGACTTTCCAAGCAATTAATTTCTCTCGTGCATTGAGAATAACAGGATATCTTACTTCTTTTCCTTCACTGTCTCGTTCCACCTTGCCATCAAGTGCTGGAGATTTTCGAGCTTCAGCATGGGCATAATCTGGACCCACTGTATAAACCTTTCAAAAATGTTAAATAAATGTATAAATACATATGTGTGTGTATGTGTGTGTGTGTAACCAGCAGACAACAAATCCAGTGAAAATCAATAACTAAAAACTAGTTCTGAATCCAGGCTAATAGACATATCTTTTTATTTTACATGCCCAAATTTTCAGTTCATTGGGAAAGGTTGTAAGTAATCATTATATGGCAAAATTGGTAGAGTGAAGTTTCATTCTCTATAGAGAACTATTATACTGAGTATTATGAGGGAATACTAGGATGTATACGATGTGATTGCTGTCTTTAAATTGTTTTAGTTTAACAAATGAGAGATGCAAATAACCATTATAGGGAAAAAAAAAATCCCAAAAGAAAATCTTTAAAAGGGTGAGGGTATGAATCTGAGTGCAGATAAGAGAAGAAAAGTAAAAGAAAGAGGCATGAACAGCATGATGTATTCAGGTATTGGCAAGTTATCTGATGTAGTTTATACTGTAAGAAATGAGGTTTATAAGACAAACAGAGGACACTGAAATATCTTGTATGGCAGGATTATGAATCTGGTTATTATCCTGTGGTCAATAAGGATCCACTAGAGAACTTTTAAGGATTCATACTCAGATTTATACTTTAGAAAACATTCTGGTTAGAGAAAGAATGGCTGAAGGTAAAGCAATTAAGACCTTATTTGTCACCAACTAAAATGACAGACACTTTTTATATCACATCACAGTTGTCACAGATCTCAAAACCTCACTTACACTAATCACTGCTTGGAAACTGTGATGGTTATTAGACCTTTATCCCTGGTATCTTATTATTTAATGCCCCTTTAAAGACTTATTATGTTTAACACAAAGTTGGTTTTTAAATATTTTATTATATTTTAATAAAATTTGTCTTCATCATAATCTTACATGTTTAAAGCATTTAAAAACACTACTCTTCAAAAAGAGTCCATAGGCTTCAGACTGCTAAAGATGTTGATGGTACAAAACATGAGGAATCCCTAATCAAAAAGAAAGAGATCCTGAGTAAAGGTTAGATACAGTTAAAGATTAACTTCTTTTTCTGATATCATTGGTAAACTTGAAATATAAAACTAAAATCTATTTTAATCAATCCTACCTTAACATCAGTACCATCTGTGGGCATAAACTCTTCATATATATATGAGCCTGTTTTTCGTACATTGCTTTCTGGAGAATAAACACTACTTCTACTGCCAATCTGAAAACAAAAGATGTCCATCGATATAAAAAAGCAAATTATTTCCCTCATTTTTATGATAAAATGACAAATAGTTTATTAACCACCTATTTCCATCTTAGACATTTTCAAATACATTTTTAATCCACAAATAATTAACAAAACTTACTACATACTTGGCACTATAGTAGTCTCTATTGTTACCATAACTTACATATTAAAGAGTATAGAAATACAATGAACAGTAAGAGTTATATTCCTAAGATTCATCCAGGTTGCTGCATGTAAGCTTGTTCATTTTTACTACTCTAGAATTTTCCACTGTATAAATACACCAGAATTTATCCATTCTCCTATCAATGTATGTTTAGGTTGTTTTCCAAGCTTTGGTGATTACAACGTTGCTTTCAACGTTCTTATGTGTCGCGACAGCAAACTTGTATGAGTGTTCCTAAGGTATATAATAAAAGTGGAACTGCTCGGTGATAGAATGTGCTCATATTCAACTTGTGAAGATAATGAAAAATCTTTATCAACTATTTTAACAATGTAGGGTCTCATCAGCAATGTGTAAGTTTTCACTGTTCTACATCCTTGTTTACACTTGTTACTGTTAGGCTTCTTAATACCTGCTACTTTAATGGATGTTAAAATGGTATCTCACTGTGTTCTTAATTTGAATTTTCATCAATTTTTATACATGTATATGCATTTTACATTCTGATACATTGCTAAATTATGTTGTTAAGAGGCTACACTACTTTGTATTTCTGCCAACAATGTTTGCCCTTGTGCTTATTTCTCAACTAGTTCAATATTTTTTATCTTTGTCAATCCAAAAAGTAATACAATGTCATTATATCTAGATTTGATTTGCATTTATTTTATTATGAGTATAATTAAGTGTACTTTCAGGTATGTAAAGTTATCAGTGTTACTTTTTCTATGAGCTGTTATTTTTCTGGGCCATTATTCTAAAATACTGCTACAGCTTAAGTGAATTTCTAGTTTGACAGATATACAAAATGGGAGGGAAAAGAAAAGTCAAGTATCCTTCCTGGCATTCTGCAGGCAGAAATTCTGCTTAACAACATTAAATAACTAAAATGATGCCATGCCTTTCTAACAAAGTATATCAGTTTTATAAATTTACCTCTAAATGATACATTTTCAAGAGTTCAATATTTAACCATAATTAAATGCTTGATTGCTTTTAATAACACTTACACAACAATGTCTAAAGAAGAGTATTCATACAAAAGTTACAAAGGTTTTACCTTTCTAAAGAGTCTTTGACTTCCACCACCAGCAGAAGTTGGGTAATAAATGTAAACATTGTGATCTTCTGCACTGACTGGCTTTTCTACAAATGGCTTTTGAAAAACTTCCCCATTTACTTCTACATGATCTTCCCCTTCAATCAGATTACATTCTATAAAACAAACATGATTGCAAGAAATATCACATATTATATTATCAGGACACCACATTATTATCGAGGACTTTTTTTACTAAAAGACCATAAAAGAAAAGTAAATTTGGATAATGTACTCACTTGATTTTAATCATACATGTTTATATAAATAACATATGTCAACGTTTATGATATATATGGCATTAAAAGCTATAGTTCTTCAAAATTTTACAGACTTATCATTTCACACTACCACACCACAGAATTCAAAGTTAGACGTGAAATTATTATATCAAGACTGAGAAGTAACTCAAGAATGTCACCATCTTCTGAAAACTGTGTGAGATTATTTGTATCAGATATCGTAAAACATGAAGCTATTTAAGTTAGAAAGTAACTCATATGCAAAGTAAGCCAGCAATTCAATTAGAAAGTTAAATTTTTAAATCTAGACAAGAAAAGTTTCCTGCTTAAGACGATGATTACTTTATCTCTTTTTTAAATGTTATTTTTAACCATCATGGGTACATAGTAGTTGTATATATTTATGCGGTCCATATGAAATTCTGATACAGGCATACAATGGTCTAATAATCAAATTGGAATAGTTGGGGTATTCACCATCTCAAACATTTATCATTTCTTTGTGTTAGGAACATTCTAATTTCACTCTTAGTTATTTCAAAATATAAAATAAATTATTGTGAACTACAGTCACCCTATTATGCTACCAAATACTGGATCTTATTCATTCTATATAACTGCATTTTTATACTCACTAACCATCCTCACTTTATCCCCGTCATCCTTGCAACCCTTCCCTCCAGTAACAATTATTCTATGCTCAAGCTCTAAGAGTTCATCTTTTTTTTTTTTTAAAGCTCCCACACGTGAAAACATGCAATATTTCTTTCTTGCCTGGCTTATTTTACTTAACATAAGACTTCCAGTTTCATCCATGTTGTTGCAAATGACAGGATTTCATTCTTTTTATGGCTGAATAGTATACCATTGTCTATAGGTACCACATTTTCTTTATCCATTAATGGACACTTAGGTTGTTTCTATACTGGCCATTCCAAGTGGTGCTGCAATACACATGAGTGCAAATATCTCTTCAATATACTGATTTCCTCTTTTTTTGGACATATACTCAGCAGTGAGATTGCAAGATCATATGGTAGCTCTATTTTTAGTTTTTTGAGGAACCTCCATTCTGTTCTCAATAGTGGCTTTACTAATTTATATTCCCACCAACAGTATTCCCTTTCTCCACATCCTCACAAACATTTCTTATTGCTTGTCTTCTTGATAAAAGCCATTTTAACTGGGATGAGTTGATATTTCATTATAGATTTGATGTGCATTTCTCTGATGATTGGTGACGTTGAGCATATTTTCATATACCTATTGGTCATTTGTATGTCTTCCTTCGAGAAAAATCTGTTCAAATCTTTGCCCATATTTTAATTAGATTGTTTTTTTCCTATAGAGCTGTTTGAGTTTCTTATATATTCTGGTTACTAGTCCCTTGTCAAATGGGTAGTTTACAAATATTTTCTCCCATTCTGTGGACTGTCTCTTCACTGTATTATTTCCTTTCCTGTGCAGAAGCTTTTCATGTTGATGTGATCCCATTAGCACATTTTTGCTTTGGTTGCTTGAGTTTCTGAGGTCTTACTCAAGAAACATTTGCCCAGACCAATATCCTGGAGTGTTTCTACAATGTTTTCTTCTAGTACTTGCATATTTTCAGGTCTTAGATTTAAGTATTTAACCCATTTTGATTATGTATATAGAGAAAGATAGGGGCCTAATTTGATCCTGCATATAGATACCAAGTTTTCCCAACACTACTTACTGAAGAGACTGTCCCTTCCCCAGTGGACATTCTGGTCAACTTTGTCGAAAATGAGTTAATTGCAAATGTGTGTACTTTTTTCTGGATTCTGTATTCTGTTCCTTTGGTCTATGTTTCGATGCCAGTACCATCCTGTTTTGGTTACTATAGCTTTGTAGTGTAACTTAAAAGTCAAATATTGTGATTCCTCCAGTTTTGTTGTTTTTGTTCAGGCTGGCTATGACTATTCTGAGTCTTTTGTGGTTCCATATAAATTTTAGTATTTTTTTTTTCTATTTCTGTGAAGAATGTCTTTAGTATTCTGACTGCATTGAATCTGTAGACAGCTTTGGGTAGTATGGCAATTCTTTCAATCTATGAAAATGGAGTATTTTTCCATTTTTTGGTGTGTTCTCTTCAATTTCTTTCATCAGCATTTTATGGTTTTCATTGTAGAAGAGATCTTTCATTTCTTTAAGTGAATTCCTAGGTATTTACTTTATTTGTAGCTATTGTAAATGGGATTACTTTTTTTTTTGGTTTCTTTTTCAGATTGTTTGCTGTTCGCATATAGAAATGCTATGGATTTTTGTAAGTTGATATTGTATCCTGCAACTTTACTGAACTTGTTCTAATAGTTTTGTGGTAGAGACTCTAGGATTTTCTAACTATAAGATCATATCATCTATAAACAAGGATAATTTAACTCCTTTCTTTTCGATTTGGATGCCCTTTATTTCCTTCTCTTCCCTAATTTCTCTGGCTATAATTTCCAGTACTAAGTTGAATAAAAGAGATGAAAGTAGACATCTTTGTCTTGTTCCAAGTCTTAGAGGAAATATTTTTACCTTTTCCCTGTTCAGTATGACGTTAGCTGTGGGTTGGTCATATAGGCCTTTTATCATATAAAGGTAAGTTCATTCCATACCCAGTGTTTTGAGAGATTTTATCACGAAAGGATGTTTAATTTTATCAAATGCTTTTTCTCCATCAACTGAAATGATCATATGTAGACAGTATAGAGTTGGGTCTTATTTTTTAATCCATTTTGCAACTCTATGTCTTTTGATGCAAGAATTTAGCCCATTTACATTCATGTTATTATTGATAGGTAAAGACTTGCTTCTGTTATTTTGGTATTTGTTTTCTGAGGTTTTTATTTTTTTGTCCTCCCTTCCTTCCTTCCTGTATTCCTTTATGGGAAAGTGATTTTCTGCCTGGGCATGATGGCCCCCAGCACTTCGGGAGTCTGAGACAGGAGGACCACATAAGCCAAGGAGTTTTGAAACCAGCCTGGGCTACACAGTGAGACCCTGTCCCTACAAAAAATAATTACTTGGACATGGTGGCTTGTGCTTGTAGTCCCAGCTACTCAGGAAGCTGAAGTGGGAGAATCACCAGGGAGTTGAGGCTATAGTGAAAAGTGATCCCGCCACTTCACTCCAACATGGGTGAAATGCCATTATGCCACTTCACTCCAACATGGGTGAAGAGCAAGACCCTGTCTCAAATACATATATATGTATGTAATTCTCTCCGGTAGTATGTTTTAATTTCTTTTTATTTTTTGTGTATCTGTTATAGGTTTTTGTTTTGTGATTACCATAAGGCTTACAAATAACATTTTATTAGCAATTATTTTAAATTGATGACAACTCTGATTACAAAGAAAAGAAAAAGAAAGAGAAAATTTTAAAAACTCTACATTTTAACTCCATTTCGCCCATCCATGTTTTGGCTTTTTGTTGTCTCTATTTTTATGTTTCTATACTCGTAAGAAGTTGTTGTAGTTATTATTTCTGACAGGTTTGCCTTTTAGTCTTCCTATGAAATATATAAGAGGTTTGTACACCACAATGACAGTGTTAGAATATTATGTACTTATCTGTGCACTTACTATTACCAATGAGTTTTACACATTAAGATGATTTCTTGAATTTTTTTTTTTTTTTTTTTTTTGAGATGGAGTCTTTCTCAGTCACCCAGGCTGGAGTGCAGTGGCACGATCTTGGCTCACTGCAAGCTCTGCCTCCTGGGTTCACGCCATTCTCCTGCCTCAACCTCCTGAGTAGCTGGGACTACAGGCACCCGCCACCAAGCCCGGCTAATTTTTTTTTGTATTTTTAGGAGAGACAGGGTCTCACCATGTTAGCCAGGATGGTCTCGATCTCCTGACCTCGTGATCCACCAGCCTCAGCCTCCCAAAGTGCTGGGACAGGCATGAGCCACTGCGCCTGGCCCAGATGATTTCTAATTGTTAATGTATTTTTCTATCAGATTGATGAACTCCTTTTAGCATTTCCTGTAAAACATTTCCTTAGAGACCCTGTAAGATCTTTTTCTCATCCTATCCTATAAGGATAGGAAATTCCAGGATATTGGTAATTCATGAATCCCTCAGCTTTTGTTTAGTAAAATCTATTATGTCTTCATGTTTGAAGGATAATTTTGCTGAATAGAATATTCTAGGTTCGAAGTTTTCTTTTTTCCTTCAATACTTTGAATGCCATCACACTCTCTCCTAGCCTATAAGCTTTCTGTTCAGATGTCAGCTGCCAGCTGTATCAGAGCTTCTTTAAATGCTATATACATCTATTCTCTGGGTGTTTTAAGGATCTTTGTTTATCCTTGACCTTTCAGAGTTTGATTAACATATGTCTTATTTGAGTTAAATATTCATATTCTTCTATGATCTATGGATATTCATATCTTTCTTTAGGTTTGGAAAGTTGTTATTGTTTCTTTCAATAAACTTTCTACCATGATCTCTCTATGTTTTCTTTAAGAGCACTAATTATTGGATTTGTCCCTTTGAGGCTATTTTTAAGATATATATATATATATATATACATATATATATATATAAACATTTTCCCTTCCTCTTATTAACTACATAGGTCCCAAAGTTGTCAAAGAAAAATGAAGAAAGGAGTGGGCCAAAAAGATGAAAAGTGCTACCTGAGAAGTTTGTTCAGACTCCTCTGTCAGGTCTCTTTAGTCCTTAGGTGTGTTTCATTCTTTTCCTCTCTTTCTCCTCTGGCTATGTATTTTCACATAGCCGGTCTTCAAGCTCACTAATTCTTCTACTTGATCCACTTTGCTGTTGAGAGGCTTTGATGTATATTTCAGTTTGTCAACTGAATTTTTCAGTTCCAGAATTTTGGCTTGATGGTTTTGAATTATTTCAATCTCTTTGTTAATTTCTCATGTTACAATTCTGATTCACTCTCCATGTTACCTTGCAGTTCTTGAGCTTCCTCAAGACAGCTATTTTGAATTCTCTGTCTGAAAGGTCACATATCTACATCACTCCAGGATTCGTAACTGGTACCTTATTTAGTTTGTTTGGTGAGGTCACATTTTTCTGGATGTTCTTGATGCTTGTAGACATTCACTGATGTCTCGGTATTTACAAGTTAGATATTTATTTCAGTCTTCACCGTTTGGGCTTCTTTGTGCCCATCCTTCTTGAGAAAGCTTTCCACATATTCAAAAAAGACATAAGCGTTACGATCGAAGCCTGAGGTCACTGCAGCTATATTAGCACTAGGGGGCGCCCTAAGCCCAGGAATGCTACAACTCTTGCCAACATGTTCACAGAGGCACCACCATGGTAGACTAATTTTTCGGTTCTTACGAAGGTGCTTTCTTGCATTGCTAGTTTATAATTTGGTGCTCCTGTGGGGAGTGGGACAATCACTGGAGGGTATATTCGGACATCTTGTTCTGCGCCCCCCTCTAGTTTTTAATAAAAGATGGTTTAAGGTATGATAAATTCATCAAAATTCCCCACAATAGTTAAGTGTGAACAGAATGTTAACTCTTAAGACAAACATATATCTTGCCTTCAGACTAAGTTAGGTATAGCTTCCATGCTATGTTTTAGATAACCAGAAAAAAAGGAGCAAAGAGTGCTTTAAAATAGAAGTACTGTTGCCCCTTGTTATAAGCGGTGACTGGTTCCAGGAACCCCCTCGTATACCAAAATCTTCACATACTCAAGTCCCAAAGTTGGCTCTGCAGAATCCATGTAAATGAAAAGTCGGCTATCAGTATATGTGGGACCCACGAATCCAGTATTTTCAATTCATGTTTATTCCGTGAATAAGCAGACTGGCAGAGTTCAAACCCATGCTGTTCCAGGGCCAACTGTATTTCCAAATTCTTGGCCAGTATTTAGTTTTTGGCATTGTAGCATGAAGTTTCTAATACTTAATTCAATAGTCATAGATAAATCACTTGTTCACCCTTAATCAATAAAAATTCACTCGTATGTAATTTCAAAATTCTAACTCATGGTTCTTAGAGAGATGTCAAAGGTAGGCCAAAGAAAAGAAGGATAAATAATTCCTAAATTATTAGTTAGCCTTTTAACTCTGTGTCACCTTTTAATTCAATATGTTTGGCTGTTTAGATTTTTTCTTTTTTTCTTTTTTTTTTTTTTTGAGACGGAGTCTCGCTCTGCCGCCCAGGCTGGAGCGCAGTGGCGCAATCTAGGCTCACCGCAAGCTCCGCCTCCCGGGTTCACGCCATTCTCCTGCCTCAGCCTCCCAAGTAGCTGGGACCACAGGCGCCCGCCACCGCGCCCAGCTAATTTTTTTGTATTTTCAGTAGTGACGGGGTTTCACTGTGTTAGCCAGGATGGCCTCGATCTACTGACCTCGTGATCCTCCCGCCTCGGCCTCCCAAAGTGCTGGGATTACAGGCGTGAACCACTGCGCCTGGCCTAGATTATTTTTTAAAAATGGAATAGAACACTATGAATTCTTTAAATTCCTTCCAGTTAATTATTGTAAGAATGTGGCCCAAAAGTATGTCAAGTGGCAAAGAAAGCTAACCTAAAATCTCTTACTCTTACCTTTGGGATTATTTGGGTCACGGTTCAAAATTGCATAACGAGGAAGTAAAATACCTTCAGCTTGAAGAATACTATATACTTCTCTCCTGAAGAAAAAGGAAAACATCCTTATTGTTTTATTGCTGCATTTCACAATGAATATATTATTGTAGTTTTCTTAAAAGACATTATTACTGTTCTACAAATAAAAAGGGTATATATATCAACCCTTTTTATTTTTTAAATAAACAAATGTCATTTCAAATATTGAAAAAAGGTATTCTGAGGAAATATTCAGCAATAAGAACAAAAATTTATGCACAATTCTTTTCTAGCTTATTAGGATACTAATTATTAAAACTGAGAACGTAAATGTATTTTAAAAATGGCTGAATAAAGTTGATATATCACAATGATAGAACATTACCTAAGCATTAAAAACCTTATGCTCAAATAGTATTTAATGACATGGAGAAATGTTCACAGTATACTAGAGAAAAGTGATTCTAATTTGGTAAAATGTGATTGTGTGTATGTATTGCTTTCTATAGAAAAAATATGATATAGTGACAAGATTAAATGGCTTTCAGTATGCTTTTACTTTTCAAACCTTTTAAAACATACATTTCTATAGCTATAGCTGTATATATATATAAATACATATATATGAATTAATATGTAAATCTAGAGAAAATGTTTTAAATTTTAGATATTAATAATTGTTACTCTCTGGAAGAACAGAAAAAAATAGCAGAGTGAAAAAACCATAGGGTCTCATATTTACAAAGCATTTTCATATATATAATCTCATATTGTAATGGTAACACTAGAAAATAGAATGCTGGTGAGATTATAATAGCTATAGGAGTGAAACATCGATTGAATGAAATACATAAATACACTCATATTTTATAATGTATTAGAAATCCATGCTTTTTACCTGTTCAATGAATGCTAAAATATATAGTATAATATTTTTCAAAATAGGTATACTTTACCATTTAAAAAATCTAGTTATAATGAGTAAAGTCCTAATTTCATCATCAGTCCCATGACAGAAAAAGTGCTCATAACTTTCAATGGTTTAGTAGGTTCTGGAATTTGTTAAACAATCTCGGTGAAGTCTGTCCTACTACTTGGGGAACTACTTGTGACTTTGGTTAGATTAATCAATCTTCCTAATTATCAAGATTCCTCATCTGTAAAATTAGGTAATAAACAACTCTTTCTGAGTATTTTGAAAGTACAATGAATTAATAATGCAAAAACACCTGATGCCATGTCAGCGTAGAGTAGGTACTAAATTAATGTTAATTTTCCTTCCCTTAATTCAGCCAACTTCACCACTCACCTATCTTGTATGAGATACTGCATATTCAAGTCATTGATTACAAATGGATTCCTGAGTTTTGCATAGGCAACCGCTTTGTCCAGTGGAAATCCTAAGAATACATATTATTAACATATTCTGTATAATCTCAAGATAAGCATCTATACTTTATTAATTTGAATTGATGCCACTTCCCATAAAAGATTTATTTCATTAACACATAACTGCCTTCTATAAAAGGTATGGAATAATATATACATAAACCTTGATTTAACTTCTATATTAAATCTTATTTTTTCCTAATTTGATTGTTAAGGCACAGCAAACCAGTGGTTATATAACCAAATTTGGAGCACTGACATGTGAGTCAAGGTCCGACTAGTCAGTCACCTGAAATAAGGTAAAATTCACCTCATACACAAAGAGAAATCTATATATAAATAGCATGGGTGTATCAGAATCACCTGGTGATTTTTAAAAAATATATTCAACATCTCTTCTTTTCTCTTAGATATTTTGATGCCTACACACATAAATTAGCCGATAACCAAAGAACTTATGTACCTTTAAAAACAGTGGGCCAGGAGTGGTGGTGCACGCCTGTAATCCCAGCACTTTGGGAGGCCAAGGCAGGTGGATCACCTGAGGTCAGGAGTTTGAGACCAGCCTGGCCAACATGGTGAAACCCCGTCTCTACTAAAATTACAAAAAATTAGCCAGGTGTGGTGGCATGCACCTGTAATCCCAGATACTTGGGAGGCTGAAGCAGGAGAATCACTCGAACCCAGGAGACGGAGGTTGCGGTGAGTGGAGATTGCGCCCTTGTACTCCAGCCTGGGCAACAGAGCAAGGCTCTGTCTCAAAAAACAAAAAAAAAAAGCTATACAAGCAAAAATTAATTCATATATGACATATATGCTCAAAATATATGAGCAGAATCATGCTATTGCTCGGTCAACATTAAAATATTAGAAATTAACTCCCTAAAACTTCTAGACTGGTAAAAGTACTAATTACAATGAAAACAAATCAAATAGTAGATATAGTTAACAACAGCTCCCCTCCCCCAAAATCTAAAAAAATCTTATGATTATATTTTATTCTCTATATTGGCACTAATGCCAGGTACAGTGGCTCTTGCCTCTCCCAGTACTTTGGGAGGCCGAGTTGGGAGGAGTGCTTGAGGCCAGGAATTCAACACCAGCCTGGGCAACATAGCAAGATCCCATCTCTACAAAAAATTCAAAAGAATCAGCAGAGGGTAGTGGCGCAACCTGTAGTTCTATCTATTCAGGAGGCTGAGGTGGGAGGATCACTTGAGCCCAAGAGTTTGAGGTTACAGGGAGCTATGACTTTACCACTGTACTCCAGCCTGGTTGACAGAGCAAGACCCTGTCTCCAGGGGGAAAAAAAAATTGACAAAAAGTCTCCAATTTTATCCATCAATACACATCATTAGTTGTATACCGTAACAGTTAAAGACATAAACCAGCGTTCAAATCCTGGTTCCATCTTTCACTAGCTATGTGACCTTGGGCAAATTTATTTAACGTCTCTAAGCCTCTGGTACCAGCATAAAAGGGTATTATACCAGTCTTACCTAGTAGAGTTTTGAGGAATTAATAATAGTGTGGATATAAGGCACTAAGCACAGTACCTGACATAGTAAGTGCTCAATAAATGTTATTGTTATTATTCCTTAAGAGGCAATATTTTAATAAATATCTATGGAAAAGGATAAAAATCAGCAAGCATACATCACTTTAGTATTCAACTATATAATACTAAGTATACCTGTGAAGAGACTATATTTTACAGCACTACCAGGATAAAGAGAAAAAGTATTAAAACATGCTGAAAATAAAACAAAACAAAAAGCTGTGGCCAGTTAAACCAGATTTATTCCTAAACTCCTCTTAGTTTTTGAAATTTGAATACAGATACTTTATATCAAGAATCACTTAGCCACAAATTACAAATCCTGCAAGTTTTGTAAAGACTCTCAGAATTCATTGCTTGTAAAGATGTCTCGATGTCTATGATTTGAAGCCTCCTTACAGAATTTAGCAAATAGAAAACACCTATACCGTTTCCTGCTTTTGTTTTTGTTAAAGAGAAACTTTTTCCCTACCAAGAGATAGTATGTGGAATATGACATTAGCTATAGCACCTAGTTTTTACAGGTAAATATAGCATTAATAGGAAGAACCATGTGAGGGTAAGGGAAGAATGCTTTACTCTCAAGGAGGAAGAAATTTTAAGGTTCTCTAAAATAAGCAGCCTGAGTCTTTAAAGATCAGTGTCTTGACTTCTCTATGAAATAATGAACATCAATTTAGGCTATGGTAGCACAACCATGCTCCATCTTCTTCCTGCTGAAGTAAGACTTTAACATAGCTCAGGACAACATATTTTGGTAACAAGAGATGATTAAATATGAATACATTTACAACCGAGAGCACATCTTTTCAATTAATAGTTCTCAGTGGGAAATTCACTTAATTCACAGATTCTTAGGCTATGAATTTTCAGATGTACCCTCAGCAATAATTTGATTAGTGGACTTTACAATGACATAATACTTAAGCTGAATTGATATTTCAGTTTGATTAATAAAATATAGCAAGGAATATCTAAAAATCTCAAATTATTAAGTTCTTAAAAATGAAGTATGAATATGTATATGAAAAATGATAGATCTTGTTCTATACAGCCTAGAAAGGGACTTATTCAATAATTCAAGAACTTGTCCTAAGAAACTTACAGATGCAAACAAGAGCTCACACAACCTTATTTTTAATAGTGAAAACTGGAAACTGTCCAAATATTAGGATAATAGATAAATTTAAATATGTTATGGTATATCCACACAATGATATACTATGCCACTATTAAAAACCACATTATCTAAGAATGATATGGTGGGGGAAAAAAACTTCTTGATATAATAGTGAAAAAGGTCAAATATAAAATTACACATACACTATGACATTAAATTAAAAGAAAATACACAGAGAAGACATACACTGGAAAGAAATACATCAAAATGTTAATATCACCTGTCCATGAAAGTATCTTAAAGTTTATTTTTGTTTTATCTCATAGTCTACAATTAATATGTATTAGTTTTATACTCAGAGAAGATAAAGGAGTTTCTCCCCCACTCCCCTTAATACCTTTAGAATGGAAAGAAATAAGACAATCACATAAAGGCCAGTTTTCCACTGGTTCATTCAAAATAACCTCCTCTTCAAATACTACTACTGTGATATATTTAAATAAGGAGATCCGTTCAAGAATTTCCTTCATTGGTTTGGATTTGGATTTCTTTGCCATGGAACATATTCCAACCACAATCTGCCTTTCTGGTGGCTAAAACAAAAATGAAACAAAAAATCGGGTTAACTTTACATGAACTCCAAAGTACAGCTATCTTCATTTGTTTTCCAAAAGTAGATAAGGCATGTGATCAATCAATAAAAGGGACACATTAACAAAGGAATTTTAAAAAATTATATCATTGTTATAATAAACACTTAAAAAACAGTTTTCTACAAAGGTCTGGAAAAAAATTTAAAAACAAAAACACTTTCAGAACAAATATTGTTGCTATTTTCAATGAAATTTAAAACTAAAAAAGTACCCCCTCTTTAACTACCTCTAGCATTTATTTATCCTCCTCATACCAGTAAAGTATAGTAACAGTCAAAACCCATCTACTCTATGTAGAAAGATAAAGAATTCTCTTGCCTAAAATAAGACATAGTCCTGACTACAAAGCTATACAGTATTAAACTATTATTGTAGTTTGCACTTGAATATTAGTTGGTCACCAATGACAACCTGGAAGAAAATTTTAAAGAAAGCCACACTGCCAACAGAGGTGTCAAGTCTCTTTGCCCCTCCTGTCTTCATAGTCAATACTCCTATTTATTGGGGTTACTGATCTCTGGCATCCTCGTAACAGCTTGAAGGCCACGAGTCAGTCTAAAACTTAAAAAGCAGGATATAGAAACTAATTTATGAGTAGCTCCTAGATTTATAAAATTACTCAAGATTCATTTGGTGATCTTTGCATTTAAGTGCTTGAGAGTTTTATCAAATACACAAAAGCTGTCTTCAGTTTCTCATTTCAATTCTTCTTTCTTCCATGATACTTTATATATTTCACACAACATTATAATCTAGGCTCGAAAGTGCTTTACTGGGCTTTTTCTTAATATATCTAAAAATAAAATTGGATAACATCAGAATTAATTAATTTTTTTTGTTTTTTTGAGACGAAGTCTCGCTCTGTCACCCAGGCTGGAGTACAGTGGCGTGATCTCAGCTCACTGCAATCTCCGCCTCCCAGGTTCAAGTAATTCACCTGCCTCAGTCTCCCGAGTAGCTGGGACTACACGTGTGCACCGCCACACCTGGCTAATTTTTTTTTCATATTTTTAGTAGATATGGGGTTTCATCGTGTTAGCCAGGATGGTCTCAAGCTCCTGACCTTGTGATCCGCCTGCCTCGGCCTCCCAAAGTGCTGAGATTACAGGTATGAGCTACCACGCCCAGTCTAAATTATTCTTTTTTTATGCCTAGAACAATATTTCTGTATGGTCTCCTCAAACTCATGAAATGTAGAGTTAAAATTGTACTACAGTTGACTGGTAAATCAAATAGATTATAAATGCTAACCTTCCTGGAATCTTCTGTATTTATCCCTCTGACCATCCACTTTTATGTAAGACCTTATTCAATGCTTTCCTGATCAAAAGTTTTGATACAGTTCATTATAATGTTCCTAAGGTAGATTTCCCCAGACAAAAAATGTACTCTAACCTAACATTTCACATTGCTTTACAATTTTTTTAAGTGCTAATATATTAAGTCTTATGTATTACAAATCTATTTAATGAATATCTGCTCAATGGCTAAGATGAATAGGAACCATTCAAGTTTAAAATGTATAACTAAACTTACATTCTTAAGACACAATAACAGAGGTTCTCTGTTAGGTAAAACCTTAAAATCATGAAGATAATTTTTTAAACTGATCTGAGGTATTTTGTTAGGTTGAATGTCTAAAAAAACTATATTCACATCTTTGAAGTCTAAAAACGGGGGAGAAATCTTAAAAACAGAAGAATGATCTGGAATAAATCATTTTATAAATATAAAGCTATAGATCAAATAAACTAAATCAAGCTTCTGTAAAGTGATAATAGTGCACCATACGATGTGCTGAAGATTAGATATACAGACGTACCTGTACTCAAAGTACTTTGAGTCTAACAGGGAACACAGTAATAATAAAAAACATTGTGATACATGGAATAGAAGTACAGTTGGCCCTCCATATCTATGGGTTTCACATCCATGGATTCAATTAATCATGTATTGAAGATATTTGTGGGGGAAAAAGCATCTGTACCGAACATATACAGATGATATTTCTTATCATTATTCCCTAAGCAATACAGTATAACAACTATTTACATATTTATATTGTATTAAAGTAATTTAGAGATGATTTAAAACATATGGGTAGATGCGGCTTACATGTAAATATCACACAATTTTATAAAAAGAGCTTCAGTATCGGCAGATTTTGGTATCCACAGGGAGTTCTAGAACCAATCCCTCATGGATATTGAGGGACAACTGTATATACACTAATGTAAAGACACAGTAATGAGGAAGAAGTATTCCAATCTGTGATGAAAAAAAAAGCAAGGAGAGTGGAAAGAGTGAATGATGTGAAATCTGAGGAGGGTTTGGAAGAATGAAAAATAATTCACAAGGTATTCCAAAATAAGGTCATTTCAGAAAGGTGAAAGAGTACACACAATAGCAAAGATGCATGGTATGACAATAAATATGTGGAAATAAAAATGTTGATGTTACTAAAACATAGAAGGTAGAAAGAATGGGAAAGAGGTATGGATGTAGATATAGATGAGACATAAAAGCTTTCACATGTAAGAAGACTGGCTTTGATCTGCCAGTGGTGTTCACACTATATTCAGAAGAACTCTAGAAAAAGGGGATAAAGGCAGTAGAGGCTGAGTCAATAGTGCTTTCTAGTTTAAGTGAGCCAGAGATGCTCTGCTTTCATGTTTTACTTATAGGACCTCTAGATAAAACTTCAGATGAAAAAAAGTTTGAGCTGGTAAGAGAAGCCTGCCTGAAAATCTAGTTTTTCAGGGGCAGGAGGTAGCAAAGGTGCTCTGCATTGAAGGTTTGAAATGAGCTAACAGTAGAATTTGCATTTCAAATATGTGTAACTCCACTGTGAAAGATCGTTATTATAAAAAAGGGCTTAAAGAGTCATCTAATCACTATTTTTGGTTTTACTATTTTTACAAAATCAAACAGGTTTTTCTCCTAAAACTAAATTCTCTTTCCAATTAGAAATATATGAAAAACAAACACGTACTGTAGGTATTTTAAATCAGTATTCACAGTAAAGTAGTCTCTACTTAAAAAATTAAATGATGAGTAAGAAAAATATTGGTCTAATGTAACTATAGCAAAATGAGCATAATAAATGTATATCATTTCTAAGATCCAGTATGGATAGAACATTATATCAGAAAGAGAACAAGCTTTAGACACACACACAAACACATAGATACTTTAGGTAGCCTACTATTTTAGCCACTCAGTTTTCAGACTTCTGAAGTTAATAAATATGAGTATCTTCAGTTCAACCAGAACTCACATTGGTAACATAAGCTTCATGAATCTAGTTAAGTAATCCTTCTTCTTTAAATAACCTTTAAAATTATTTCCTTCTACTTATCATCAATTATTTGCTATGTATTTCTACATACAAGAAAGCTTTCGGATTTATGGCCCAGATTACTATTTCTCTTTGCCACTTTTTTTTTTTTACCTAACACTGAGTTACACTATGCGTATCACTGAAAGAAACTAAAATAGGCATCATTAAACAACATAAAGGTTTGACCCATAACTGTATTTATTGATTCATCATAGATTCAACATCAGTCATGAAGCAAAATATACTTTTTCAGTTTAAAAATTTTCCAACAAAAAGAGTCTTAAGATTAATTCACATTAACAGTGATTAGTAAAAAGCCTATACTGTATCGGTCTTCTCTCACCAAAGAAAAAACGAACAACTTACAGAATCATCTTCCTCCTCATCGTCTTCATCTGCATGGTGGAAGAAATGTCGATAATTTCCAGGATTTATTTCTGTATCTTCTGGTCCAACAAAGAATCTGGGGGCTTCACTCATTTTTATTTTATTTGATGTAGATATAATTGAAATGATTTATATTAGAACTGCCTCTAAGTAAATAGCATCAGAAGAAAGCATTCTCCATATATTAGCTAACACACAGGTCTGCGACAGCTTGTTTCTGCTTATACAATCACTTGATATTTTGATGACTGTTGGCAAATACTCTTTTGTTCTTAGATATCATTGCTTCATTGTTGATATCAAAGTTGTTGCAATTCAAAATACAAAGACAGTGAGGCTACTGCTTTCTTGAGTTGATACAGCAATCTTCTTACCTAAAATGCAATGAAAAAACTAATTTCGGGAGGTGCACTCCAAAAACATTCCTGTAAAAAATAATTTTTAATGACTCTTGTAAAATCAGCACCAATAACTTGATGTATATTGTCAAAATGAAAATACAATTTCTCCCATAAGAAAATTACTTATAACTAATAAAAACGAAAAATTAAGAAACTAAAACTGATCCTCAGTAGTATACATCTTAGCAACTTGACAAACATATGAATTAACAAAGACTACACATTAAATTCTTCGTCCCAAAATATCTAAATCAATTAAGAGAAAATTACTCAAATTATAACAAAATTATATTAAAGCTAAATCTGTTAGCACATAGTTATGAAATATCTGAATGCAATGGAAAAGAACAGACAAATGGAATGCAGCTTTAAAAACCACCGACAAATATTAATCTGAAATTACATTAAGTCAATTTGTAAAGCTGTCTGTAAACAGGTATTTTAGGGAACATAATTCTATATTCTGGTCTCATATATAAATGAACAAAAAAAGATTAGAATCAGAACAAGATTTCATTAAATAGCAGCTCTTAAACGTGTAGAAGTCGAAAACTCTTTAACAAATCTAATAAAATCTATGGATCTTCTCCTCAGAAAAAAAGAAAGTACATGTGCACTAAATTCTGCAAGCAATTTTATGTGATTCACTGACATTCAAACTCTTCCACATAACCAGGCATCCATGAGTATCAGTTAAAGAACTATCATAGCTTGCACCTGTAATCCTAGCTACTTGGGAGGTTGAGGTGGGAGGATCGCTTGAGCCCAACAGTTTGAAGCTCCAGTGAGCTATGACTGTGCCACTATACTCCAGCTTGAATAACAGAGAAAGACTCTGTCTCAAATAAATAAATAAATAAATAAATAAATAAATAAAATAAATAAGAACTATCATATAAGAGCAGTATCATCTCAAAATATTCCTTACCATAGTTGTTTACATGTACTTGTATCCTGGTCATATTAAAATTAATTATATACCAAGATGAAACTACGTAACAAATGCTTCATTTGATTACTGGTAGTAAAAGAAATTAATTGATCAAATATTCTTAAAAGTCAAACAATATGCTAGGTAGAATTAAAAGCATAACTCCAAAAGTTCTATTCCTAAAGATCTAATTCCAGTATAACTGGTGACTCCCCAGTAGACATTAAAATCAATTTACCCAGTTAGCCTTCACTTTAACCATCTTTAAATTACAGTGTTATGTTTAAAATAATTTGCAATTTAAAAATAAAAGTAGAAATAATTTACTTTATAAATCAATGCCTTTTGTTCTATTCCTCTGCATTATTTAACATGTAAAAAATGTCTACTGAAAAAAAAAACAAAAAACAAACAAAAAAAAAACCACAAAGTTTCCAGTTGCTGTAAAACTTGATGTTGGTGGATAAGTTGATCTCAGTTCTGTTTTCTATCAAATGGCAAATATCTCTTGGTTTCTTTTAAGTTTTTTACTCTTTCCATCTAAAAAGAGCTCAAATATTTCGATAGTGGAAGGGGAATGTTCTGGAGTCAGGTACATCTGTTTTAATCTGTCACTTCGTAGCTAGTGACTTACGCTAGTTGCTATTAGTCTATAAAAAAGGAAGAATAGCAACATCTGTAACCCTGTAAAGACTAAGTGAGATAGCATAAGTGCTTGGCGTATATTAAACAATAAACCATAGTTTCCATAAACACTCCTATAAACCAAACTCCCTACTGACTCTAACATATAAATCTAAAAGAATCTGAAATGAGTGTTATGCTACTAAAAATGTCCACACTCAATGCAGTAGTTCTCAAACATTAGAATGCAACGGAATCACCTGTAGGGACTTGTTAAAACACCAAACTCAAAACTCTGGGGGTGGGGCCCAATATTTTGCCTTTCCAAAAGTTCCAAGGTGATGCTGATGTTGCTCATCTTGGAATCACACTATAAGAACAATTGCTCTAGACTCAAAACTGGATTTGAAAACTTTTTCTGAAAGTTGCTCAGCTCTGTGTCCTTAGTCAAGTTATTGAACCTCTCTAGTCATCATCTGTAAAATGGGATTCTAAATTTCATATATTGTTTTGACAATGAAATTACAATACAGATGCCACAGCAAATAGCACATATTAAGCACTCAGTAAATGTTAGTTGTTTAATATCTTGTTAAATGTTGTTATGACAGTTTTCTAACAAATTTAATTGGCAAAGAACAAATATAAATAACTCAATTTAGAATGTGTCTACTTACCTCTTGTCTAATGAGTCACAGAAACTCCCCTTTGCCACTGTTGTTGTTGGAGACCTCTACATCTTTTCTAGTCTTACCACACTGCTTGAGACTATCATGAACACTACTGCCTGGGATAATCATTCTTCTCTTTCATACTTTTACTGGTCACAGCCAGAGCTACCTGATCCTCAAAATAACACCCTGGATCATCCATCAGTCCCACCTAGTATTCAGATCCCCCTTACCTGAACTTAATATTTCCAAGCCATCATTGTAGCCCTTTCCATGGGTTCCCTCAGGAGCCCAACTATAAACTAGTAAATCTCTGCTCTCAAAATCAGAGGAAATGGGAGCTCCTGCTCCTGCTGCTCAGCCTGAACGCAAACACATAACCAGTTTTCCTGAAATTCCAAAAGCATTTTCCAATGGAAACACTGCTATAAATTGTGTCTCCTTTCCAGGGCACTAATAGTACATCCATGTAATAGGGAATAAATAAGCTTCTGCAGGCTGGCAAAGGCAATCTGGTTCATTTATAAGATCACACAAAAAAAGCCCATTCCAAGTTCCACACAACCTTCATGTTGATTTTTTTTTTCCTTCTTCAAACGTTCATTTAATACCTTTTTGCTGAACCTGCATTTCCTTCTGCCTGGAATTCACTGCTCTCCTTGAAAGTTCCTATGCCGCATTCAAAAACCAACTGGAAGGTCTTCAATGAAGGTTTTCCTGAGAACTATCACACCTTTGATAGGCCCTAAAGATACGTAAAAACCCTCTCCCATCTTCTATGTTCCGCAGCATTTTGGATCTATCTTTTCACTTACCTGTTTCCATCAGAGTTGGGTTTTTTCCTCCCCAACTTTTTATTATGAAAAATTACAAATATTCACAAAAGTTGAAAGAACAGTTTATTAATCATCCATATGCCCATCATTATACTTAACGATTGCCAACATTTTGCCATGTTTGCTATTTATACACACACACATACACTTGCTGTACCATTTGAAGGTACTAGATATCAACACACTCCAACTCTAAGTACTTTTGTATGCATCTCCTAAAAATAAGAACATCTTCCTATATAAACACAATTCCTTTTCCACATGAGAATATTAATAGTCCATAACACTGTCTATATTGCGGTTGTATGGGGGCTCCTAGAGAATGAGGACCTAATCTATATATTCCCGCTACTTAACTTGGTTCATAGCACTTATTTGGGTAATCAACAAATGTTCTACCAATTGTTCAGTTTAAGACTCTCACAACAACTACTCTGGAAGTTATAAGAATTTAAAATTTTAAAATTTTCTGCACGTAGGTTTAGTCATTTGCTTTAAATAAACCTGTGCTGCAGTAAGTACAGCATTCTGAGTTCTGTACTACTTAATTCTGCATCACAATGCTACATAAAGACAGAGATCATGTCTAACTTTTGTCAGACATATAAGTAGGTACACCAATTTTTTTTTAAATGAATGAATACTTTCCGACACTGAAAATGTTAGTGAAGAAATTGAAATCAAGGAAGAACAGAACGGGACAATAGAATACAGATTTTGAAGGCAGACAGATCTGGTTTTTAACACAGATTGAAATGTTTACTTACAACTGTTTACTAGGGCAAGTTGCGTGACTGCTCCTCAATTTCTAACTCTGTAAAATGGTGGTGATAATCTAACATATCTCCTGGAATTGTTGAGAGGAACGAATGACAAAATATGTAAAGCACTCGGCACACGTAAGACTCAGTTAATGGCAACTATCATTATTTTATCTATCTAAGACAAAAAAAAATTAGCTATTTCATTAAATAATTCACAATAGCAAAACAAAATCCTGTCCCAGTGTAGAGCGAGGATTTTATGTGCTAAGGTCAGCTACGCTTCCCACTTCCATAGTTAAGCCTTCCAGCAAGACACCTACTACCCAAAGGACTCCAGGAGTCGCAAACTCCCAGGAAGAGGTCAAGAACCTCGTGAATGAGATCCCGGGATCACCACCCTGGCCCTTTCTCCTTCAGGGCGCGGAAGGCTGCAACGCCCTCCAAATGATCAGGTGCGGCAGTGACCTGCAGCCTCGGTCCCTACTATGAAAGGCTGCAACACACGAGGCTTTTGTTCTGTTAAAGTGGGTGTGGGGTTGACAGAGAGGGATAAGGACTAAGGAAGAAAATTTTTTAAAAAGCCACCTCTACCCACAGCAGTCCCATAACTCGAGGCTAATCACTTCGGTGGAGCCAGGAACAGCGTGGGGTAGAAGCTCGACAGTTCCCTTTTAGCTGAGCTTCAATTTCTGGGGTCTCAAACCCAAGAAATGAAAAAAGGAAGCCATGGAGGAGCAGGAGGAGACATCAAGGCGCGAAAGGACCCTCAAAGCTATACCGTCACTCCACGCCCAGGCTGTCATTCGCTGCAGCACATGCCCCTCGGTGGAGCGCGTGTTTAGGCTCTGCAGAGCACAGGAGACAAAGCAGAAGCCCAGCAGCCGCCTCTACCCTGGCATGATCAGGTTCCGCATCTCCGGTTCTCCTCCAGTTTTGGGGCCCTCACCTGCCACGAATGCGGTCGTCACGCGAGCAGTTGTGAGATGGTCAAGCCCATTCAGGTCTAGGTTACCCACTTTCATCCCGGAGGCAGGGGTGAGGTGTTCGTCAAGTTACTTCAGTTGTAGGCGTGGACGTAGGCTACTTCCTTCAGTAACAGCTATAGGGCCACATAGGGGTACCTCAGGCTACTACACCTCAGAAATCTCCGTCACGCCTCTTCCCCGCCCTCCTCGGGTCTCACGCCGAAACCTCACCGGGCGGAACGATTTCCGGCAAGAGCCAAACGATCCGTCCTAACCTTTCTGACCGTGGTTCCAAGGCTCCCAAAAGGACTGGCCTCTAAAGGACCTGGGTAGTTCCGCTTCCGGCAGCGCCAGATAAATCACGAGAGGAAGCTTAAATCTGTCGTTTGAATTTAGGACCACCTCGGTGAGTGGTCGTTCTGGTGTGCTGTGTCATACCTACTTGTTTTTTAAAGTGAGGCGTAACCCGACAGTAATTTCAAAACCATTAGCCTCGACTGGCCTAAGGAAGGGTTTAATTGACTCTGTGGGGAGATTTTGCGCAGGCGCCGTTGAGACGGGAGGGCCTTGGGCGTTGCGATGTCCCGCGCTAGCTGAGCAGAAAGGGCGAGTGCCGTTTCGGGCCTGGGGAGGTGCCTACTGGGTGTAATTGAGTTTTACCAAATGGTCATTTTCCTGCTGATTCTAAGTGTGGTTGGACCTTGCCCTTAAGATTCCGTTAACAAGTCGCCCAAAGCTTAGGAAGTGCTCCCTCACAGCGTTTGAAACTCCGAGCACTTTTGGCCGGCATTGAAGAATTCTCCCCATTACTTTGATCAGTCATTTAATCAGAAATTTTGCCCCGAATTTAAATAAGTGGCGGGGAGAAACGTGAAGTCAAGAGGGAATCCTGTCACGTAGTTTTAAAAGAAAAATGTCCACTTTATCTCAGTGTAGGTTTTTCTTAAATGGGCATTTCTGAACCAAAGTAGATACTTTTTAAAGTGGAAATGCGTTTATCCCATGTGGCTTCATGTGAATGCATATGGCGATGAAGGCATTTTTTTTGTTAAATGAATTTGTACTCTGAAGTGAACCGGATTACAGAGAAGTGTATTTAAATTTACAACTCCTTGACGTTGCATGAAATTGTGCGTGTCCGTTTTTTGGAGCTTAAAATAGAATAATTCAAATGTCAGAATTCCGATCCAAGTTAACGTGTTGATTGAAAATTGTAGATTTTAAGATGGAACTGGCGGGTATTTTAACCTTTTAGGGGCTTAAATTGGTAGCTTTGTTTTTAACCCTTGGTGAAACAGTTAAGTCCTAATCTTGACGTAATACCTAACTGCCTTACTGTATTGAACACAAACATAAAATTATCAAAGGAATTAAGCAATGAGTTGATTTTATTTGATGTTATGGAGGGGACAAAGTGTGTAAAGCTTAACCAAATATGACCCTGACATTCCTCATGCAAAACTAGAAGTTGTAATCAACCACTTTCATTTTTTCTTATTCCTACACGTTTAAGTACGTAAGTAATGATTTTAAGAGAAATTCTTGAAAATATGAGCATATCCAAAGAAGTACCAGGACAGTCTTTCTTTATGTAGTTGAAACCACTTAATAAGAAGATATTTATATTTGTCCCGAATATTACAGTTTCAAGCCATTTTCTCATAGTAACTACTTTTCAAATACATTGTTCCTAGGGACCAAGTAGTGTATGTATGGGCTTTGAAAAAACAAAAACAGAAACTGTTTCTTTTATGTTACTTTTGTGTATGAATACCAATTATTAGCAGTAAAACTTTAAACTACTTCAAGGGCTATGCTTTCTGTGAACTGAGTTTTCTTTCTTACGCATTTTCTTTTTCTCTTGTCATCTGCCTCTCTACCTCAAGAACCAGCAGTTTGTGAACTGCATTAGACTGTAATATCGTTATAAAAGAATACAACTCCTGAGTCTTCTGATTTTCTTCTTAGCACTAAAGCTTTATAAACATTGCTATAAAGCATTAACACCATTAATGAAAGGAAAGATATTTTAAAATATTTTTTCATGTGGATGAAGATTTTGAGAAAAGAAAGACTTCTCTGTTACTCTAAACAGCCTGATATGGATGATAATAGTTAGATATGATAATAATTATACATTACTTTACCATATACAAAGGACTTTTAAGTCCATTATTTTCATCGTCATGATTGCAAAAAAGGAAAAGATATTATGTCCTCTTCCAAACATAGATATTAAGGCTTAAGTCTATACCTTCTTAGACACAGTTTACTTATAGTGCCATGTTCGTGAAAGTGAACTATAATGTTTTGAAAAGTGAAATAAGTTACCTTTGGAATATTTGCTATAATTTTTAATTCTCCTTTCAGGAAATGCAAGTAATTCTTTATTCATTCACAAATAGTTGAGTGTCCACTGTGTTCTGAACATGATGTTAAACAATGTAAACATAAAAAATTAATAAGCTATTTCCATTCCTCGTTTATAATCAAACTTATTGATTACAAAAATCACTTTAAAATTTGTGTAACAGAGGCCTGAATCAAGTATTATAAAAGCTAAGGATGACAAGTTAATTAACTTATTGGTATAACACCAGGGAAAAGCATAAAATTTGAAGTAAGAGACTCCAAGTTACAAATGTCAGCACGTGTACTCACTTTATTACCTTTAGTAAATTGGACAATCTCTGGACCCCCATTTTCTTACCTGTAAAATGGATATAAAACTAATACCAATTCCATGGAGTATTGTGAGGATTATCATAGTAAAATACTGCATAACTATTTGCAGCTGTAGTCGTGAGTCACTTAGCAGTGGGAATAAATTCTGAGAAATGCTTTGTTAGGCAGTTTCAGCAATGCACGAATACAGACTACCTACATGAACCTAGATGATGTGTGTGTGCGTGTGCATATATATATATATTTTTCTTCATATTAAAAAAAATATCCCTGCACATTATTGGGTATCATTGATTTCTCCTGCTTGATCTGCAGTGCTAATATCAAATGCCCTATATCAGATTCTATATATGCTCCGCTATCATCTTATCAGACCAGTAGGCAGTCCATCCTTGACCAAAACATTCTTATGTGGTGCAATTGCATTGGCAATTGTTTTTAAAATTTTTAATTTTTTAAAATTATTTCCTCTTCCTATACTTTTGGCTTTTCCACATGTCATATAAACAGAAATATATAATATATAGCCGTTTGTGTCTGGCTTATTTCACTTAGCATAATGATTTTGAGATTTATTCATATTGTTAGGTCTATTTGTAGTTTGTTCCTTATCAATGCTTAATAGTATTCCGTATGTGGATCTACTATAATTTGTTTATCCATTCACCAGTTGATGAACATTTGTTTTCAGGTTTTGGCTGTTAGGAATAAAACTTCTAGAAACATTCACTTACAGGTTTTTAGGTGTATATATTTTCTTTAGGGTTAATATCTAAGACTGGTATTGCTGGACCATATGGTAAATTGATGTTTAATTTTATAAGAAATTGCCAAACTGTTTTCCAACATGTTTACATCATTTTCTATTATCACCAGCAAGAGTATCCTTGGTAGTACCTAGTATTGTTAGATTTTGTTTTGTTTTTGTTGTCGTTAGTGTGTAGTCATGTCTTATTGTGGTTTTAATTTACATTTTTTCATTGTCTATTGATGTTGAGCATTTTTTCATGTGTTTATTTACTAACCATATCTCTGGTGAAGTGTCTGTATTTCTAGGTTTTAAATTGGGTTGTTTTCTTGTTAAGCTTTGAGAGTTCTTTGTAACTTCTAGATAAAAGTTATTTATCATATATATATGTATTGCAAATATTTTATCCCAGTGTTTTCTCTTTTTTTGGCAGTTCTTTAAAGAATAAAAATTTTAATTTTTTCTTTTTGCATAGGTGCTTTTTCTTTGCTATCTAGGAAGCCATTACCCAACCTAAGCTCACAAAGAATTTTTGTTGTTGTTTTCTAGAAGTTGTATAGTTTTAAGTTGTACGTTTAGATCTGTGACCCATCATGAAGTAATTTTTACATAACATGTGAGGTATTAGTTGAGGTTCACCTTTTTTCAAAAGATGTTTAATTGTTACAGCATTTGTTGAAAAGATTATCCTTTCTTCATTGAATTACCTTGGCACCTTTGTTAAAAATCAGTTTACCATAACTGAGCGGCTGTTTCTGGCACTATTCTGTTCCATAGATTTAAGGCTGTCATTTTGCCATTATAACACAGTCTTCATTACCATAGCAGTATAGAAAGTCCTGAAACCAAATAATGTGAAATTCTTCAACTATATTCATTTCTCAAAGTTGTTTTAATTATTCTGAGTCCTTTAGCTTTCCATATCAATTTTAGAATCAGCTTGTCAGTTTCTGCAAAAGAGCTTGAGGGTTCCTGATTGGGACTGCATTGAATCTATAGATCAATTTGGAGAAAATTGGCGTCTTGTCCCACTTTTTCTCAGAGATAGAGGGGGAGTTACTCTAGCTTTCTGCATTCTAGTCAGAAGCCTATATGGGCATTTTTAGTGGTATTTCAGAAAGAAATAATTTTGCTCCACGATTATATTCACTATAATATGTTTAGTGGAAGAGATCACGGACGAATCCCTGTTTGTGAATTGGATATCATCCCCTGCTGCCATCTCAGGAACGTCATACCATATTTTTTTTTCCTCTGTTTTCAGTGGTCTTTCTAGAAGCCTGTCCACTAGCATTAAACTTTTTGGGTTATTCCTTTGTTGAAAGCAAAACAATCTTGTTTTAAAAAAAAAATTGTTGTAATTGTAGTAAATCACACATAACATGAAATTTACCATCTTAACCATTTTTAAGTGTACATACAGTTCAGTGGCATTAAGTACATTCACATGGTTTTACAACTATTACCACCATCCATCTCAAGAAGTCTTTTCATTTTGTATAACTGAAACTCTTGACCAGTTAAACAATAACTCTTCCATTCTCTCCTCCCCACCCTCTGTTCTATGCAACCATCATTGTTCTTTTTGTCTGTATGTATTTGACTACTCTGAGTACCTCATATAGGTGGAATCATACAGTATTTATCTTTTTGTGACTCATTCATTTCACTTAGCTTAATGTCCTCAAGATTCATCCATATGGTAACGTGTGTCAGAATCTCCTTCCTTTTAAAGGTGTGTGAATAAATACACCATGTTTTGTTTATCCATGCAGCCATTGATGGACACTTGAGTTGCTTCCATCATTTGGCTGTTGTGGGTGATGTGGCTAATAACACGGCTGTCAAAAATTTTAACCCCACTAGAATGTAAACTCAATGAAGGTCAGGAGAATCTACATCTTGTTTCTTATCCTGTCTCCAACGTTGTAACTGGCACATAGCAGTTACTCAGTAACGTTTTTTAGATCAAC